GTGACTACACGCAGAGTGGATCGTGCTCTTTCCTTTGTACAGAGCGTTAGAGCCCGTGTGAAACAGGGGTTTCTGGTGGGCGTGTCAGAATAACCCTGGGTTGTGCAAACAGTGAAGCACTTGGGCACTTGGTTGGTACCCAGAAGGTTGGCAGGAAACATTTCCCCAGGGACACCTCTGAAAAGAGGCCTAGTGACCTTCTGAAAAGTCACTGCCATGAAAACCCTGTACAACCCTGTGGAATGCAGCTGTACTCTGAAGCCTGGGAGTTTCCATGAGACAGAGTCAACTCTACAGCAATAGGGTGTGTGTGTGTGTGTGTGTGTTTACATAGGAAGGCTTTCATGTCTCCTCCTGAGCCCTAAACACAGTCTCTGGCCCTTTGCTCCTCCCCAAAATATCAGGCAAAGCCCCCACTCCACCCTCCACTTTCCTTCCTTCTTTTCCCTCACTTTGCCCCCTAAACCCACTTACCTTAGGGTTTCCTATCTAAACTGACTTCTGAGAGGGACACAGCCTCTTCAGAGTCAGCAGGCTTTGTCTCACTTCTAAAGGTTTTCCTACAAAAAACAAATGGTAGCAAAGTAATGAAAATAGGAAATTCATCTAAAATATTCTCTCAATGATTGCCAGTCAGGCTGTGATCCCCAACACCTCCAGTCAGTGTTAAGAAGCCCCTCACTTTTTAGATGTTTCCATTCCCACCTTTCTGCTTTATCTATAATCACCTACTGCATCTGTAAAAATGACTGCTCTAAGTTATTAGCAAATATTGGATGTTCCATAATGAGCTGTCTTCATAGACCCAGCATTCCTTCTTCTCCATGACCCAAATGAGCAAACCAAAGTGCATAAAAAGGAAATATCTAATACTGTGCTTTTCTAATGCGATAGCCAAAAGTGTCTATGTAAATGTGACTGTTATGAAACTGGAGTGAAGTTAAAAATTCATTTCCATTAGATAGTTGTAAGTGTTCAACAGCGGCAGATGACTAGTGGCTGCCACGTTGTCCGTCATTACAGAACGCTCGAGGGGCCGGGGCTGGTGTAGAGCCCACAAGTTTCAGAGCCAGCATGGAAATTCTGAACTGTGTAGCTCCGCAGTTACATATGGCCTTTCGTCATTTTTCCACTCTGGCCCGTTTCTGCATCTCAGTCCAGGATGACCACAGGGGCCATTGGTGCTCTGTGATTGAATTCGGCCCCTTGAGACAGACCCTCTGGCCAGACTTCTGGCTTGTGCTTGTACTGCTGATGGCCTGCAAAAGACAAGCCCTCCCTCCTGAACCTCAGACTCACTGGGTCCTGCTCAGTCTGAGATGCAAGTTGTTGTTGTTGTTGTTGTTGTCAGCTGATGTCCTATCAGCCTTCGCCTCACCCACACATAGTGGAACCAAACACTGCCCAGTTCTGCGCCATTTCTCAGACCAGTCACAGGCTAGAGAGTTTTAAGAGATAAGCTTGTCATTCCAAAGTTATTGCCAGGCCTTTCTTCTTTGTCTGTCTTAATCCACAAGGTCCTTTGTTGACATATGGGTAAAGGCTGCTCATGAGATGCATGAGAACTGTAGGTATAGGTATTTATTTACCTCACTGGAGAATCCTTATTGTCTATGCTTCTCTTTACCCAAAGGGGCCTGGTGTTGAGCCTGCCACATGGAGAGGGCTGTGGCTTGTGGAACCAGGGCCCCTACAGAGTGGACACTAGAAAAAGTGTGGCCTTTTTGTGGGTCAGAAGAAAGCCCGTCTGTTCTCAGGTCCCTCCTGTCCCTTTCCCAGGATTCTTCTGGATCATTTGTGAAAGATGAGGCCCAGCCAAACCTACTTTTCTCTCATTGTCCTTCATGTATCAGTGCTGGAGGAGGGAGTGGATGGAAACGTTGGGAGAACTCAGCAGAAGGGGTGGGTGCTGAGAAATCAGGGTCATTGGCCTTCCCTGGGATGACAGTCAGGGAGTGGCCTGTGAATGTGGCCTCAGGACAGATAAGTTGGCTGCCGGTGGGGACAGCGCTGGTGAGGTTTTGTTGAAAGGCCCTGATAGGGGGCTTTGGAGCTGGGGAATAACTTTTGCAGCTCTCTGTTGGACTTACATGTAGTCAGCTTCTAGAAGTCTGATAAACACAGTTCCCCCATCTACCTCACAGTCTCTCCTGCGTGCTGGCCAGTTTTTCCCATGGAGAACAGGAGGCTGCCTCCTTCCTTCCAACTCTGCATCATAGGCACGGAGTCAGTGGTTAGGGCCCAGGTTCCAGGCCTGGCATGAGGATGAGAGACAGCTGTAGGAGCCCGGCCACCTGCTGTGTGCTGTTGTATGCTAGGTGCTGTTCCCAAAGTTCATGGAATTAGCTCGTTTAATTCCCAAAAGCCAAAGTCCATGGTGGTTGAGTCAATTTCAACTCATAGGGACCCTGTAGGACAGAGGAGAGCCTTTCCAGGGCTATCAAGGCTTATGTAAATTTGATTTGCATCTTTCTCCCCTGGAATAGCTGGTGGGTCCATCCACCAACCTTCTGGTCAGCAGCCCAGTCAAGTCAATTCCAGCTCATAGTGACCCAGGCTGGAACTGCCCCAGAGGGTTTCCAAAGGAGCAAATCTTTACAGAAACACACGCACACCTTCCTTGGAACAACTGGCAGATTCGAACCACCCACCTTTTATAATATTACCATTCCTGTTTTATAGAGGAAGAATCCAAGGTCCCCGGACCTTGTGTGCTCAGGGACCCACAACTCCTGCCTGAGCCAGGAATCTCCTCCAGAGCTGCCCAAACCAGCCAGGCCTGATGACACTGTGACTTTAGCCCAGTCGAACCTTTTAGACTTCTGACTTCCAGACCTGTGAGAGAGTAAATCTTTATTGACTGAAGCCACTGACTTTGTGATTGTTTGTTATAGCAGCCATAACAAACATGTTGTGGTTGCTGTGTCCCGCCAAGTCGGATCCGACCCACAGCTGACCCTCCAGTGGGCTTTCAGAGGCAGTAAACCACATGGGAGGAGACTGCCCATCTTTCTCCTGAAAAGCAGTTGGTGAATTTGAACTGCATGCCTTTGAGTTAACAGAGAAACTCTTTACCATAGGGACTCCAAAGAAGGTGGACTTGCCACCCATTAATTTTTTATCTTGAACTGCTGTTGTTGATAATTCATCCAAGTTCATTGCCGTAGAGTGGGAACTGCATTCTCACTGCCCCTCCGCTGTGTTTCTAAGGCTGCACATTGTCCAGGAGGAGACTGCCTTTCTTTCTCCTGTAGAACCCCTCGTGGATTTGAATGGTCAAAGAGACATAGCCTTTGGTTTAACAATATAGAGCTCTGTGAAGTACACCACCAGTACACTTTCAGTTCTATCTCACAGACATCCAAGAAAATACCGCTGCGTCCTGAGTCGCCGTTGTGGTCACTGGCATGGCCCATCTTGCTGAGGGTCTCCAGGACTCTCGTTAGCCTCCCTCTTCACCAGGCAGGCTGTTGTTCTGTTCTAGCCCTGTGTGTCACCTGATGATTTGGGCAATGTTCTGCTGTGATCTGTAAGGATTTCATTAGCTAATTTTTAGAACTCCATCCCCAGGTTTTTCTTCCTAGTGTTTCTGAGGTTAGAGGTTCTGATGAAGCCTGCTCACCACGAGTGACCTGGTGGTATTTGCTTGGCCCTATTGGTGGCATTTGACCCCGCTGTTTTCATAGATTCCCAGCATCACAGCAATACGTAAGTCACGTCACCATGGTAAGACAAACTGACAAGTGAGCGGTGGACTTCTGTTAAACTGAGATGCTTCCAAGAATCCACCGTCCCACTGAGTCTGCAGAATTCCCAAACAGTAAACATCTGTGGGAACTGCAGACTCACAGGTCATGTGCCAGGTGACGGGGTGAGCCGGGGAGCCAGCTCTTCCTGGAGAAGAGAGGTCAGCGCAAGGTCACACCCAGTGAGTGATGCTCTAGGGCTAATTATAACTGCAGCCTTTGTCTGTGGGCCCTGGTGGGGCTCTGGATCGAGGCTGGGGCTTCCATGGCTTAAGCCAAGATCAAATGTGAAAGTCAAGTGGTGTACATAGGTGGTGTGGTTCGGACGGGGATTGTTTCTCTCTGTAATTGCATCCTCAAATGGAAGAGAAAGCAGCCACCAGCCAGCTCAGCAGTCTCCATCCCAGGAAAGCATTGGAGGTGGTTACAGAGGCAGAATTTGTGCCTGTAAATCAAAGACAACTCCAAAGTTGGAACTCCTGACACCCTGTATATTTCTTTTTTTTTAAATTCATTTTAATGAAAGTTTACTGAAACTTTGGATTTATTTACTGTGGCACTTTTCTCTCTGCCCAACCCCCACTACTGCCCCAGTTTGCTCTTCTCTTTGAAAAGTAAAAGAAAAATTCTTTCATTGTTATACAATCCTGTATATACAGCCCGACTTTCTGCACAGATGGAGGAAGATGAAAGTGGAAGGGGAAAGTTGCAGCCTAGACTTTGCATAGAGCTTTGGATTCTCCTGCCTAAAACTCAGGAGATTCTAGTCCTGAAAACAGGAGAGAGAATAAAGTGAAGACAATCAGCAGACACTGTCCTGGACATCAGACCTAGACACACATGGCTGCAAGTCCTGGCCCTATATTCAAACGAATGCTTTTAAGGGAAAGAAATCCTTGGTCTTTATTCTTCTATAAAGTGGGATGCAAGACCACCATGAGTGCAAGGCATGATCCAAATAAGCAGCTTCTGTTAAAGCCCCTGAGGAGAGCCCAGAGACCAGTGGGCCCACGAACACACACCACAGACTCATGGAAAGCCCATGTCTGCCAGTGAAGAACTGTGCTCCATAGGATTTTCAGTGGCTGATTTTTCCATAGATTGCCAGGCCTTTCTTCTGAGGCACCTCTGGGTAAACATAAACCTCTAATCATTCATTAGCGACCGAATACATGGTCCATCTTCACCAGCCAAGGACTCTTAGTGGATACACCTTACCCATTATTCCCTCATCCTCCCTGCTTTCTGCCCCAGGGAAACCCCTGTACATGCACATCGGAGAGGAGATCGATGGTGTGGACATGCGAGCTGAGGTCGGGCTCCTGACCCGGAACATCGTGGTGATGGGGGAGATGGAAGAGGAATGCTACCCCTACAGCAACCACATCTGCAACTTCTTTGACTTTGACACCTTTGGAGGCCACATCAAGGTATGACTCTGCCTGGCGGAGGCTATCAACCCATGGCAAGGGGAGATTAGACAGTGCATGGGCTCCAACCCAAGTAGAAAGACCCCTTGATACCAGCTGGTGGGTGGGATTCTTGATAGGGATTGGGAGGACGAAGGAGGTGGGATTTCTTTACCAAGAGAAGTAGTCACCTTCTGGGTATTGGAGAAAATTTAGTTGCTGTCTACTGCCTCATGGATTCACGTGTCAGTCAATGGTGGGGGATGCTAGAAGTGTTGATAGAGCCAACTTGAGAACAGCTCTACATTCCCAGGCCACTCTGCGCTTTCATGCTTTTCAGTATGAGCCATTTCTTTCTTTTCCTTTATAACTGAGCCCTAATCCCATCGTAAAAGCACAAGCGTTTAACTCGCAAAAAAATCACATGTCCAATCCATCCATTAAGACAATAAGCAGAGAGAGAGGAACTAAAAGTTCTCACTTTAAATTAAAGGAAAAGACTGGCATAATGGCCTGCAGAATTCTACAAAATGAAGAAAAATGATACTAGTTAAATGTGGTTCAGTCTTTCCTAGTATTAAGCTCACATAAGAATTTCTTTTCTTCTTTTCTTTTCCTTTTTTCCCAATTTGAGTGAAAGTTTAAAAACAGTTTGGTTTTTAATATAATCATGCACTAAAATACTGTTTTATAACATAATTATCATTGATTAATGTGACTAATGAATTACAATTTCTTATCACATTGAAATTAAGTGCAATGTCAATTCCTTACTGTGTTTTCCTTTTCTTTTTCCTTTTATCTACTTAGTAATTTTTACTCCCCTCGCCCTCCCTTCCCATCCCTGTTTAAACCTCTGAGATTGCTTCTGTCTGTGTGTGAGCCTTCCGTTGTCATGAAAGGACTTTCTTTTGCATTTCTGTATGAAGTGCCTCTCTCTGACATAGTGAATGCATAAGGCACTCTAAGGTTCTTCATGTGGCCATTGTGTTCATTGACTCAAGATCAAAGTCGATAACCTAAGGTTACATTGCAGTTCTGGGAAGACGACTCTTTCAAAGCAAAGAGCGTGTGATTTCAGCTTAGAATATTATTATTTTCTTTAACTAAAGAGGCTAATGGAGTGAAACTTACCGAATTTTACAAGAGAGGCCTTATTGGCATTTTAGGTGGGTTATGTTTTCCATTGCAGGCTGTTATTACAGGATTTTTTAGCGTCCTGACCCCTGCTTATTTAATCCTGGTAATGTCCCCCAGTCATTGGAACCACCAGAAACATTTCTAGATATTTCTGGTCATTTCCTGGGGGAAGAGGGTGCCCTTAGTTGAGAACCTACTTAGAGAGATGAACAGGAATAGCAGACATGGAGTATGCGCACTCTTGTGACCCTCTTCCCGGTTCTTGGGAGTGTTTCCTGACTGGTCACAGCACTCGTTCTCATGAAACTCAAACAAGGCCTGAAAATCCTCCTCACCATCACTCCCGAGAGCAGCCAGTACTGGGCTTGGCATGCCAATGGATGCTTCCTTCAGAAAGGAGTGATTCACATGCACCTAAGACCATCCTTTCCTGGTAGAAGTGGACTGAGCCGGAGTCTTGAGACTCTTTTTCAGATTGTGTTTTGTGCTGAGTCGCTGGAACGTGGATGGTCTGTGTTGTGAAGTGGTCCCCTGGAGCAAGCTAGGAATGATCCCAGGTGTGCTGTGGAGTGAGTGTGCGTCTGCCTAATGAGCAAGGCCCCAGCCCACCATGCTACACGCCATAGGCCTGGGCTCAGTGTCGACCTCTGCTCCCCCAGGAGAGATCCTCAGATGATGGACAGTGACTCCTGTCCAGTGGTCTAGCCAAACCTGGATTCCCCAACCCTCTGAGGGTGTACTCCTGCCAGATTCCTCCCATGTTAGCTCAGGATTAACCTTTCCTCACAAGATGCAGTGTTTTAGGAGGCAGGGAATGAGGTTTGAAGCAAACATCCATCAGCTGTTCCACAGATCATCCAGAGCTCTCAGTTTAAAATTATTATCTGTCATTAGTAGCACCTTGCTTGCATCCTTTGGTATAAGAAGAACCAGGTTCTTACTTAGAAGAACAGAGAAAATGCCTTTAATTCACTAGGAACAGGGGTGGGGGATTAATGAAGGGCTTTGGTGACAACACCTCTGGCATCTTGGAATGTAAAGCCGCTCCCAGACTCCTGACTGTCATCTCTCTTCTCCCAGTTTGCACTGGGGTTTAAGGCAGCGCACCTGGAGGGTGTGGAGCTGAAGCACATGGGACAGCAGCTGATAGGACAGTACCCGATTCACTTCCACCTGGCAGGTGACGTGGATGAAAAGGGAGGCTATGACCCGCCCACATACGTGAAAGAGCTCTCCATCCACCACACGTTCTCTCGCTGTGTCACCGTCCACGGCTCCAATGGCCTCTTGGTAAGTTCTTCCATGCCCAGAGACAAAGACTTTCAGCTCTCTCGTTTCCACATCCCCTGCCCTACCATTCCACTCATGGCCTTTCCAGAGATGGTAGTGATCCACAGGTGTGTAGGTCTAGACACTTACCTAGAGCCACTGGGATTGAACCATCCTTAGCTGACAATTTAGACCCATGCTGACGCACCCATGTTTGGAGACCTCCCAAAAAGAGTATCGCCCACTCCCTAAAGGGCAGGAGTGACTAAGCTAGGTGAGGATTTAGTTTGCTGGGGTCACTGTAAATCCAGCACCTACTACTTCACAGCAGTGTGATGGGAAATGTTCCGTATTTGTGGCGTGACCAGTCTTCTCAGTGCACAAAGGAGGGATGAGGGCAGGTGTGTGTGTTGTGACATCTGCCCTATTGATGGGAGTCGGGGACGGGTGGCAGTGACGCTCCATTTCCTCTATCTAGACTGGTTCCTTCAGAGCAAGTGCTGCTGGGAGAAGCGCTCTTATTGACAGACAGGCCCATGGGTCAGAGGTCTGCCTTCAGCCTCTTTGTTGTGGTTATCAGATACCATTCTGCTGACTCTGAAGTCTTTCCCTGTGAACAACACATCTGAACTTTGCCCAACCTTGGACCTCCCTCACCATCTCTGATACACTTGAGATCATTGTTAAAGTAACTGTGTCACTCCATCTCGTTGAAGGTGTTCCTCTTTCCAAACATATCTTTTTTCCCAAGGACTCTTCATCCTCATCACATGCCCAAAGTATGCAACACAAAGTTCCACCATCCTTGCCTCTAAGGAGCGCCATGGCTGCACTTCCTCCAAGAGAGACTTGTTTGTTCTTTTAGCAGTCTGGGGGATACTCAGAACCCTTTCCCAACACCACATTCAGGGGCGTCCATTCTTCTGCCATCCTTATTTGTTGTCCAACTTTCAGATGCATTTTACATGAAATTAATCCTCCTTTAAATGAACTAAGCATTTTCTATAAATTTTATTTTGGGCATCGCAGAAGAAGGCCCTGCTAGCTAACTCCAGCTACTCAAACTACTTTGTTTGTCTCCACTGGAGCACTCTATTCTGTGACACAAGGAGTTGACATGAGTTGGAATTAATTTTATTGCATCTCGTATGGTTGTTTATTTAGCTGGGTCATTTACACTCATAGCTGAACCAGAGTCCTGAAGCCAGAACTTTAGACAGTCTCTTGGAACCAGAAACCCTTGCCACACTACATACCAAGACCTTTCTCCCTTCTGGCCTCATGGGATCCTGGATGCTGGTTTAGGAGGGGGCACCCTTTATCCCTCTGGGTGTCCTTTGGAAACCAACCCATCCAGGCCCCTTGGCACTGGCTTGACCACAGAGCCAGCTGTGGCCTTATCTTGGTGGCTAGTAGGCTTTCCAACCAAGTCAGCTGAGGCCCTTGACCTTTCTAAGGTGAAACAAAATTATCTTGATTTATAATCCAGAAGAAGTGTGGGCCTCCAACCTGCTGAGCCAGAGACAAGCTGGCACCTGCGCTTTTTACGGGCTGAAATTTCACCTTGTAAATGCCCTGTCCTGGGGGCGGGGCAGGGTGGGGCACTGTGTGGAGAATTCCATCTTCTGAAACATCTTCACGAGCACTGGGTTCGCCTTGTTGGAATTTTACATCTGCTTCCTTCCTGTGGGCCTGAAGGGCTTACCAGCGCTGACTATGTTTGGAAAGATGTTTTTAGCTGGAAAGATGAAGGGAGGCCAAGTACAGACAAAGATGCTATTCTGACAGGAAAATTATCGTAGGCCACTCGAAGAGCATCGTGGACGCCTTTGCTCTGGCTCTTCCCGCCAACATCAGAAGGGGTGGTTGTGGGCCATCACTGGTTCAAGAGAGAGAGGGTTTCTCGTTGCTCAGAGCTGAGAGGTGCCTTACCCTAAGCTGATTCTGCAACATCCCTCACAGCCCTTCACTCACGGGTGCCTTCTGCCTCTCTACCTATATAACTAGATGCTGGTATCATTAAAACTGAGGTGACCAGTGAATTCTAACCATTAACAGGGAAGAGGGCTAGAAGAACAAAGGAGGAAACGCTTTATTCTGGCTAGCATGCATAGGAACCTAGTTGTTGTTGTTGTTGTTGTTGTTAGGTGCCTTTGAGTCTAATATAACTCGTAGCGACCCTGTGAACCACAGACCTGAATCCCGTGCCATCTTTATCATCTCTGATCCACTCAAGTCCAGTGCTGCAGTCACCATGTCAATGTCTGTCTGCCTAAAACTGCTTCCATATTTAATCCTCAGAAGTGTTCTCAAATTGAAACTCTCTGCCATCAAGTCAGTTTGACTCACAATGACCCTCTGTTGGCCTTCGGTGGCTGTCCATCTTAATGGGAGGAGACTGCCCAGCTCTCTCCCTTCGAGCCACTAGAGGAACTGAACCACTGGAGAAGTGTGACTGTGACCTTTTGGATTACTTAGGCTACAAACTATGCAACTACAGCCTTTGGAAAGGCTCTAACAAGGACCAGTTGTAGCCTCTGAGAACTGGAAGGGACTTTCAGAAGTCCCCTAGTCATTTGAAGTTGAGTCAAGATTTGTCCTTATGTACTCTTCCCAATCTATTCCTTCCTTCTCCCTTCTAATGCTTCTCTTTTGACCTAGATTCCTTACCCACTTTATCTCTAAGGAGGAATGTTGTTGTTGTTAAGTGCCTTTGAGTCGTAGGTGACTCTTAGTGACCCTATGAACGCAAGTCCTCCACACTTGCGTGCGTGACTTTCATCCTCTCTCCAGGTTCATAGGGTTTCCAGAGGTAAGCTGTTTATGGAAGTGGATGCCACTCCTCCTTCCAAGCTTATTTTAATCAGGGAGCTCCACCAAACACTGTTCACCCTGGGTAATCATTCTCGCATTTGACACATCAGTGTCACAGTGTTCAGCTTCACAGCCACCACAAGTTACCTCTTCTCTAAGGCAAGTGGACAGAGAAGAGCTATATGACCTATAAATGTTTGACCAAAAACAATTAAAAACAGGCCTGAGGGCTGCAAGGAGGAATAAGAAATATAATTCAGGAGGAGAGTCCCCCACCGCCACCCCTCCCCTCATTTTTGGATGTCCATTGGCACTCAAGTTATGGAATCAGACAGCTTAAAAATTAAGTCCCTGTTCTGCCCCTGAAAGGGAAGAGACTTCAGTCAAGTGTTCACGTCTCAGTGACATCTGTTCCCACGAATACCCAGAACTTGAATACCCAAGTTGTCTGACTCATACAGATCCATCCGTAGGACAGAGTAGAACTGGCCCCATAGAATCTTCAAGGCTACAGATCCTGACAAAAGCAGACTGGCACGTCTTTCTCGTTAGGAGCTGCTGATGTCTTTTGTCATCATTCATTCTCATTCAAAGAAGACCATCCAAAGTATGGTCCAGACAGCAGGCAAGTGGCTGCGGGAGGCAGAAAAAGCGCTGTGGCTGCAGATAGGAGGCCTGGCTCAGAACAGAATTTCCCTGTGGAGCTACTGCGTGTCCCTCTGGAAGGCCCATGAGCCTTCTCCGGACATCAGTGCCTTCTGTAAAGTGCCGCCATTGGCCTCGATCCCTGATCACCTGCCAGCTAAAGAAGCATACATTTCTTACTTTTTCCCCCTCCCAGGCTTGTCTTTCCAGGCTATTTATAACAAACTTGCATAACTCACAAGTGGAAAAGGGAGCAGCTCCATTAAATGGCCTTGGTCTTGGCTGAAATGCTTATCGAGGGTCTGAATAGGAGTCCAGATGACGCCCTTGACCATAACCAAAGAAGGGAGGGAGGCTATTCCAGGGAACAGAGAGCTTTCCTTGAACAGGAAACATTGTAGGGCAAATAGGCACAGAGAGAGAACTAAAGTTCCAATCCTGGTTTAAATATATGGGTTGAGTGACATTGGGCAAATCGGACTTCTCTGAAGTGATTTTCTTTACCTCTAGGGGCTGGCGGGGGAGGGAAATGATTGAAAGGTTTTGTAAGATTTAAGCAAGATTGAAAGATGTCAGAGGCAGCCCAGTGCTGCGACATGGAGGGGCCTTTTTCTCAGATGCTTCCCTGGGAAGATTCTCAGGATGCTAAAGTGTAGACAAACTGTCCCAGGGAAGACTCGAGGACATGGCGGCTGCTTACCCCAGATCGGTGTTTCTCAAAAGGGAGTGACTTTGTCCCCTGCCCCCTAACCAGCTAATATCTGGGGCCATTTTTGATTGTTGCATTGGGAAAGGAGTGCATTTGATGCACTATCAACCCAAAGATATAGTTTTAATCCACCAGCTGCTCCGCAGGAGAAAGGTGGGCTGTCTCTTCCTGTGCCATTTACAACGTCTGAAAACCCACTGAACTATGAGTCAGTTCTGACTCAGCAACACATAACAACAGCAACAACAACTAGCCTAGAGGTTGGCGGTTCAAATGCATCCAGTGGTACCACAGAAGAAAGCCTGTGGAGAAAAGTGAACTGAAGAGATGGTGGAATACTTGTCGAAGATCCCTGTGCCAGTTGGGTGCACATCTCAGGTTCCTTACTATTCACTCCAGTGATCTTCTTGCTTCCTGCATTGACTCTGTGAGTCCCAGGGGAACCTGAAGAGCTGGAGTTTGCACCTCTTCCTGGTTCTCTGCCCAAGAGCTGTCAGTGTAGCCCATATGTTAAGCGTGAGCCGAGAAGCCCACTCAGATTCATAAGTGAGGACGCAATGAGAAACATCCAGACCAGCCTTAATGAAAAGGCTGTGTGGTTCAGCTCAGATGCTCCCGTCTGAGTAAAGTTCTCTCAGAAGTCTCACCCACTGGTTTTGCTTCTGTGTAATCTCTCCATGATGAGTCCTGGGAAGCTGTGCTCTTATCTACGTCCCCACACGTGGAAGACACACAGAGTCTCCTGTCCAGGTCTCCTCTTGGACCCAACCCTCTCATATCTGATATTTTGCTCCTCCTCCCTCCTAATCCATGAAGTCATGGCCATAACATTGTCAGTTGGACGAGACTTTTGAAAATCACCACTCCAGGTATAACACCCAAAAGCACATGCAGCAAACCCCAAAACCAATAAATAGGGTCTCATTTAAAAAATGGCGTCATTTTGGGCATCAGAGGATTTTATCAACAAAGTAAAGAGACTCTATACATATTGGCAGAAAATTTCAGGGAGCCATGTATCTGTTAAAAGTATAACATACAGACTGTAGGAAAGGGTCTTACCATGTAATAACAAAAAGACAAGCAACCCAGTTCATTTTAAAGTGCATAGACTTGTGTAGACAAAAGACTTACAGAGACACTTCACCAAAGGGATCACACACATGGAAAGATGTTCAGCACCATTAGTCATTCCTCCTCATCCTCTCATTGTCGTCACAAAGGGGGAAAATGTATGATCTCACTGTATGAAACATCTAGAATAGACACGTGTAGAGACCAAAGTTCATTAAAGGTTACCAGGGGTGGAGGAAGAGAGCTATGCTGAAGGAGTTCTGGATGGCTGATAATGGTGATGGTGGCGTAGTTCACAGAAGTATGAGGATGGCAAGTTGCACAATATGAAGAATGCAGTGATGTCAGATCCCGGACTAAGGTGCATCTGATTCAGGCCATAGTCTTTCCAATTACTTGCTGTGCACCTAAGAGCTGGACAGTGAATAGGAATGACAGAAGAAGAATTGATGCCTTTGAGCTGTGGTGTTGGAGAAGAGTATTGAACATCCCATGATGGCCAAGAGAAAAAAACAGATATGTCTTGGAGAGGGTGCAGCCAGAGTGCTCTTTGGAGGCAAGAATGATGAGGCTTCGCTTCACATACTTTGGACATGTTGCTAGGAGGTGCTGTTCCTTGGAGAAAGACATATGCTGGTGAAGGAGACCAGGTGGCTTGACATGGTGACATGGTGACTGCTGCAGTGGACTCTTGTGTGTCAGAAAGTGTGAGGATGGCACAGGATAGAACAAGGTTCAGATCTTTTGTTCATAGGGTCGCTATGAGTCGTACTCGACTCGATGGCACCTAACAACAACAACAACAACAATCCATGCCATTGAATTACATATGCAAATGCTGCTAAATTGTTAATTTTTTCACTGTAATTTTAAAAAAAGAAGTCATTGCTCTCTCTCCCTGCTCCCCTTTCCCTGACGTCAACACCTAGAGATTACCCTCCAAACTCCCAGTGCTCCACATAGAGCCTGTGTATAACTGGTGCTTTTTAAGTGTTTGTGGACCAAACGAACACACCATTACTGTCAGTTCTGACTTATCATGACCCTCCTGGACAGAGCAGTATTGCCCCATGGCATTTCCAAGCTCATAGACTTTCTAGAAGGATAGTGCCACATCCTTCTCCCAGAGTAGCTAGTAGGTCAGAACCACTGACCTCTCAGTTAGCAGCCAGTTATTGAAGCCTGCACCACCAGGGCTCCTTGAGTAAATTAATGACTTGTCAGACACTGGATGAACCATCCCCCTGTCTTGACTCTTGCAGATCAAGGACGTTGTGGGCTATCACTCTTTGGGCCACTGCTTCTTCACAGAAGATGGACCAGAGGAGCGCAACACCTTTGACCACTGTCTTGGTTTACTTGTCAAGTCTGGGACCCTCCTGCCTTCTGACCGTGACAGCAAGATGTGCAAGATGATTACAGAAGACTCCTATCCAGGCTACATCCCCAAGCCCAGGCAGGACTGCAAGTGAGTGCCTCCCTCCCCTCCATGCAGCACCCCAGCCCTGTGCCTGGGGGAGTGAATGTGTGAGCCATACTCACACCGCCTTTCCATTCATCTTTCCACTTCAGTGTCAGCTTCTGAGCCCCCTCCTAGCCCTTCACCTGCACACCACTTCTGGGAGGAAAGGCAGAAATGTGTCTTCTCCCTTCTCGGTTTACCTCCTGTGCATTGCTCTCATCTGAAGAGAACCACTGTCCTCGGCAATGGACGTTTCCTGGTGTCATGCAGTATCTTCTTGATGGGGTGCTGTGGTTGCCCCCTCTGCTGTCATAATCTAAACACGCAGGCCCCAACCTTATGGATCCATTTCTTGGCGGGGGGAGGGATAGGGAGAGTAAGAGGGGGTCGATTCCTGTAGAGTCCACTCCTTTGCCCTAGAACTAACTGCTCCCTGAGCTCTTTTGACTTAATGTTCGTTTTAGAATCCCTCTCAGGCGTCTCCTTTGAAGTGTTTCTACTGGAAAGGCCAACCCTATTTTAATCTCTGAATACATTAAACGCTCATATACAGCACAATTTCATGAAAACTGTGTTTCCAATCAAGAAAGATATTATTTCTGAAGTCTCTGGTTTGAGGCTTTCCCACCCATGTTAAAGCGTCTGGTGTGTGTCCTCCAGGGCAGCAGGAGACCTGGTGGCCCTGAGTGTGATGCCTTTTGGTCTCTTCCTCCCTCCCCCTAGCGCTGTGTCCACATTCTGGATGGCCAATCCCAACAACAACCTCATCAATTGTGCTGCCGCAGGATCTGAGGTGAGCAGAAAGTTAACCTTCTTTGGCAGAAAGTAAGTAGATGTGGGTTTGAGATAGGAGATGGCTGGGGCTAACACCAGTGCTCACCCTGAAATGCATGCATTTGGTTTGTATTCTAAAGTCAGGGTATCTCTAGAGTGGAAAGGTCAAGTCTTCCAGACCAGGAGTCCCATGAACTTGATTTTAAGAGATTGCTCTATAATCTTACAGTTCTGATGATCCTGGCCAGCAGTGTTACACACGCTATGTGTAACAACACTTGAGAATTAAATTTAGCTTAGAATGATGTTTGGCACATGGAGTTGATTGATCCCCATCATTCTTGGATTTTTGTGCTGATGAATTTGCATGTTGTTGTTGGCCTTCAGGTCAACTACAATTCATAGTGACCCTGTGAATAATTGTTCAGGCCCTTGCCCTGAACTGCAACATCCTCACAATCTCTGCCATGTTCTAGTTCATTGTTACGCTTGCAGTATCAATCCATCTTGTTGAAGGTCTTTTTCTCTGACTCTCTACCTATCCCCACATGATGCCTTTTTGCAAAGACACCCTCTGGACAACATGCCCAAATATGTGAGACGTGTATCTCCAGCCTTGCCTCCAAGGAGTACTGGTTACCCTTCCTCCAAGACAGACTTGTTTGTTATTCTGGCAGTCCATGAGGGATTCGCTCCTCTTCACCAACACCACAACAGAAAGCCATAGGTTTTTCTGTCAGTCTTATTCACGGTTGAACTTTCAGTTGCCTACAAAGTCATTGAAAATGCCACGACTTGAATCAGGTGCACCTTAGTCTTTAAAATCATATTTAGCACTGTACAGAGGCCCTTGACAACAGATTTTCATTCATAATCCCCCAGTGAACACTCTGAGGGCATTTCCTACTACACAGATGCGCAGAGTGTAGTAAACTTGAGCTTTTTCCAAGAAGAAGTCAGACAAAGTTGCTTCCGTTTTTACTACGTTTTTGTTCTGAGGACTTCATGGGATGTTGCTGTTAGCTGTCACTCAGGGAGCCTCCAAGTCATACAGCATTTCAGTCATAAAGGAGTGAAGCATTTCCCAATCCTGTAGGACCCCATGATTACTCGGGGGCCAGACTCTTGTGATTCATACGGTTTTCACTGGGTTGTTCTTAGAAATAGATTGCCAAGCTTTTTCTTCCTGTCTGTATTAATCTGGAAGCTCTGCTGAGACCTGTGCCTTGTCATGGCCACTCCTAAGCCTCTCATGACAGATGAGTGTGGGCATCACATGAAACGCATGAGACAAGAATTGAACTCAGGTTTCCCCTATGGGAGACAAGAATCCTGCCCTGAACTCTCAGACATCCCTTTACTATCAATAATAAGCATCAACTATGTATGTTCTAAACTAAAAGTAGCATAAGTTTTGCATCTGCCCCAAGATGTAGGTCTTGTTACTACCCCGATGTGCTTCGTAAGGAGTATGAAACAAAGACAGTGAATATATACCCGGAGACACAGAAGTGAGAAGGGACAGATAAGACGCTTGTAGGATATGGGCTTGCCAATCCTTCTGTGAGCCTTCCATGGGACCCTGAGTGAGTCGGATGCTCTCTGGACCTCCCCTTCCACATGTGTAACGTGAAAAGTCAAGACCAGGTGTGGCACTTCCTGATATGAGCACGTCTGAACCTCTGACCTCGCCTGTTAGAGTGTCCGGAAAAGGAATCTGCACACTGTGGTGACTCAGCCCCAGCAGCCAGAGCCCGCAGCTGCTAAGGCAAGAACCTACAAAAGATGCACACCCATGTTTATCGTGGTTTTGTTCACAATAACAAGGAGTTGGAAACAACCTAAGTGCCTATCAACAAACGAATGGATAGAGAAGCTGTGGTATAGTCACACAATGGAATACTACACTGCATTGAAAAACAAGGAGCTTATGAATGCAATATTATTCAAAATGGGTGACCCTGGAGGACATTATGCTGAGTGAAGTATCTCAGTCACAAAAGGACAAATACTGCATGGTGCCACTGTTGTAAAGCAGGACTGACCTTGGGGTTGAGGGGAGACTGAGAAAGATGGGGTAAAGAATGTATGCTGCATTGAAACAGATGAGGGAGAAAACTATTTAAAAGGGATGTGTGATTAGGTATTATTGTCATGACAGGAGTCCAGAACGAAGGCTGCATAGTAGAATGGACCTGGGGGGCAGGGGAGGGATTGTAAAACAATGAAAGAATTTTACTTTTCAAAGAGAAGAGTGTACAGGGGTGGGGGAGAGGTGGGCAGGGGAAAAAGTGCAACAATGAATGAATGGAAATCCAAAGTCTCTATACATTTTCATTAAAATTAATAATAATAATAAAATTATTAAAAAAAGAACCTATAAAATGTTTTAACAGCCAGCAAAGGCCCTACAGAATACAGGAGCCTCACACTTTTCTCTGTATGCCCATTGGCGTAGAGCATGTGGAGACGTGTTTGGAAATGGGTAGTCCTATTTAAGCAATAATACTAGGTCTGCCTTTTGGGCGGGGGGTCATCCTGATGCTGGTGCTTGATTCTCTGACTCCCCCCTTGACTTCTTCTCCAACAGGAGACTGGATTTTGGTTCATTTTCCACCATGTACCGACGGGCCCCTCGGTGGGGATGTACTCCCCCGGTTATTCAGAGCACATTCCTCTGGGAAAATTCCATAACAACCGGGCACATTCCAACTACCGGGTAAGTCTTCCCAGACTGCACCTCCCTGACCAATCTAGGTTCCCTGGTCAGGCCTGCAGATGATTAACACTAGGACAGCAACCTGGCTACAACTGGGAGCTGCTTTATTATTCCTGGTGTGGGTCTTGAGAAAACAAGGCCCCTTCCGAGGCCTCCCAGCCTCTGGCTTCTTCACCAGCATCCTCTATGACGGTTCTTGAATCAGTACCAACTTAGCATCTTCCTAGAGCCAGAGAAAGAAGGCTGTGCCTTTATTCATGAGGATGAGAGGAGAGCTTCTCTTACTGGTGTCCCCTGAGCTCAGCACCTGAGCTTGGTGTTATCATTGACTAGATGGGAACGGCATTGAAAAGTTAGACCAGACCCCCCGCTTAGGGATATCAGGACGTGGTTGTGGAGGAAAGTGTGGCCTTGAACAAGTGACTTCACCTCTCAAGGGCCCAGTTTCCTTACCTGCGCCTCAAGCAGCACACCTATTCCAGAAGGGCTCTGAGCATAGGGCAGGCCCTCTCCTTCCCCCCACCTCCCAACCTCCACGTCTCTCATCAGTACAACCTGAGATCAGAGATGGTTCTCTTGACGGAATGGGGCTGGGTGTGAGGCGATGCCTGCTTCCTGCAGCTCACGTGTCCTTGTGTCTCCTCTCCCCAGGCCGGCATGATAATTGACAATGGAGTCAAGACCACTGAGGCCTCTGCCAAGGACAAGCGGCCCTTCCTGTCCATCATCTCTGCCAGGTAGCCAGCCCTCATGGACATGCATGACTCAGAGTGGCCTCTTGGCTCAGGTCTTTACTTGCCCTCATTCATTCATTTATTCACCAATTGTCTGCTTTGCTTTTTCCCTGAGCTTGGCATTGAGCTACATCCTGGAAGGGTCATGGCGAAAACCTGAGCAGAGTAAAGTCTGAATCCTAAAAGTGTAGGATTCCAGTGGCAAAAACCAAAGCCATTGTCATCTAGTCTGTTCTGGCTCCGAGCAACTCTGCAGGACAGAGTTGAGTCTCCCAATCGGGACTCCAAGGCTGTAGACGTCAGCAGGAACAGACTGCCACATTGTATTCCTACCGCGTGCCTGCTAGGTTCAAACAATTAGCCATTAACTTACCATTAACTTTTCCGTTAGCAGCCACTATGCCACCAGGATTTGAACAGCTAAAGAGAACTTTCTAGAGTGTTCTAGCTCTTTCAGCAAATGCCAGTACCTGAGAAGTCAACAGGGATAGCCAGGGGCCTAGAAAGTTGGGCTGGAGTAAGGAGGGAAAGAAAAAGAAAGAAGGCATTTCATTATCAAGTAGATGGGGCAGCAAAGTACAGACAGAACCTGTAAGTAAATATGGAGCCCGGCTGAAGAGCAGGGGCTACTTTTAAAAGGCTCTGTCCAGACCTCAAGGCAATTAGCAAAACCACTACCCTTTAAAGAGATCAATCACCTGGTGTCCTTCAAAAATGGACAATGCTAAAAAAAAAATAATAAAGATGGTGGGGGGAGAAATAAGCAGCAGTCCCTATGACTCACAACCAGAGGAAACAACAGTGGGCCGTGGCTGGGACATGATGATGTTTGTGGAAGACTCTCATCTCACTGGGCCAGACATTGGTGAGCAGTGAACTCTTCACTTCTTTTGGGAGCTGAGATGCTGAGGCCCAGAAAGGCAAACCGTTCAAGGTCTCCCACTGTTAGCAGGCAAACCGGACACGTTAAAATAAACCCCAAAGGCTGCATTAGCTACATGGTCTCTCTGGCTTGAGACCAGTTGTCAGAACTTTTCTCTGGGCTGTGACCCCTCCTAGGTCCCAATGGATAATGACAGTGACAGTGTGTGTAGTAAGTGCAGGGCTGGGCCTGCGGGAAAGGCCTGTTGCATCTGTGATAAGCTGGCATAGTTCGTTCCCAAGCCCAGGCCATACCAATTGGTTTTGCTTAGTTGGCATCTTCCCAGGCATGTTGGGCAGAGAGAAGCTCATGGAGCCCAGAAAGGAGCTGGTCTGGAGTCTTCCCCAGACCGCCAACTGTGCCCATTAATGGTGTGTTCTAGATACAGCCCTCACAAGGATGCTGACCCGCTGAAGCCCAGGGAGCCAGCCATCATCAAGCACTTCATCGCCTACAAGAACCAGGACCATGGGGCCTGGCTGCGGGGTGGGGACGTGTGGCTGGACAGCTGCCGGTGAGCATATGGGGTTTGCGTAAAGTGAAGTGATGCCCCGGCCTTGGGCATGGAGAGAGGAGAAAGGGGAGACAGTAACAAGTCCGTGTTCATGCTCTAGGATTCATAGCCAAGTAGGGAGATGACATGGTGTCAGGTGGTGCCCAAAACCACTGAAGCCAGCATATTGGTGTCAGCCTGCAGTGACAGGTGCTGGAGGCCTCTGAGCGGTCACTGGGTTTGGCTTTCTTAAGGCCTCAGGCAGTCCACAAAGGGAGGGAAGGACACCAGCAAGTTATGAGCATCTACCATGTGCCAAGCTCTTGGCTTCATTTATTTCCTACAGTGCTGCTCATAGGTATTAATCATGATCTCCATTTTAGAGATTGGATAAACTGAGGCTCAGTTTAGTGCCTTTCACAAGGTCACACAACTCATAAGAGGTGGAACTGGGTCTTGAAACTCTGGTTTATTAGACACTGAGATCTAAATGAAGAAGACACTGAGTCCTGACTTAAGGTCCCCCTGGGAGACCCTAGCCACTCTTGACAACGACCAGAAGGGACAGGCAGCTGGAAGAGCGGGCCTAGGAGGAGGGGTACAAGGACCCCCATCCACAGGCTGCAAGCACAGTGCAGAATCCAACACTGAGAACCACGAGCTTACCTTTTCCTATGTGGAATAAGGGACTGAGTGAGAGGGACCTACAATGTCCCCTTACTGTGCAGAATGAAAGGTCACAACTTCCTCAGCAAACCCTCTGATTACATAGATTCTTCCCTGACTCAGCTCAGACTCCATAGACAAGGTCCTTCCCTCCATGCCCTCACCGCATGCAGGGCGAGATGATGTCCTCACTGTCTGGTTCTGTCCCCAGGTTTGCGGACAATGGCATTGGCCTGACTCTGGCCAGGTAAGAGCAGCCGTCATTGTGTTTAATCCTTTGCGGGGGGCTGTCTCTGGATACGTCATCACAAACATCTTCTCTCCATAGTGGTGGGACCTTCCCGTATGATGATGGCTCCAAGCAAGAGATAAAGAACAGCTTGTTTGTTGGCGAGAGCGGCAATGTGGGAACAGAGATGATGGACAACCGCATCTGGGGCCCAGGCGGCCTGGACCACAGTGGAAGGACCCTCCCGATAGGCCAGTAGGTTTGCAACCTCGGAGGCTTCTTTTACCTGCATGATTAAACTTGTGGCAGCGATGGATGAAAAGATACAGGGTGGTGATGACTTCCCTGCTGCCCCTCAGTCAGAAAAATAATTGAGGCAATAAAGATTAGTCAGTCAGACAACATGTGGAATAGAAAGAAAGTAAAAAAAACAAAAAAAAAAACCATAAGCAAACCTCAAACCATCACATTGTTGAGTATGAGTCAGCAGTCTGATGTGGTCATTCAAATGCAGTGTGTGCTCCTGGGCAGCCCTGATGGGAATTCAGTGTCCAGCATGAGGGACCGTGAACCTCACTCTGCCTGCAACACCCACCTGCAACAGCGTCTCCTTCACTTTTGATGATGGCGAGTGATGCAGTCAGGCCAAAGTATATGTGAAGTAGAAGAACCAGGAGGGTGACATAGCCCAAAGCCACGTCGCATGCAGATTGAAAATGTTAACCAGGAAACGGCAGTGTATTTGAGGGGACATCATGGGAGGTGTTGTCACACATTCTCAGGGCCACCCACCGTGCACACAAGACTCATCCTACGTGAGTCCTGAACGGTACATTCGGTTTGGTGTGTGGACAAGATTTTTCTAAAAGTCAGATGTGTTCAGCAGCAGCTCTGTATCAAGGCTGTCTTGAGGAGTCCTAGGCTCTCTGTTGCTGAAGGAGTTCAAAGGTTGGATGACAACTAGGTAGTTGGAGAAGGGAGTGAGGAACTTGGAGAGCTGATGGGATGGGCTCTCATCAGGATGAGCTGTTCGGTTTCTCAGAAAGCCACAGGCTGTCTCAGTGGTGAGGAAACTTTCTGTACCTTGACCCGGTGGTTCTGCTTCCATCAGAAATCAAGCCAGAGAGCAGCTTGGTGGCCTCAATTCTCCTAGTACTAAGGTCAGCCCTTTCTGTCCACCTTTTTCTAGAAAAATATTCTAGAGTCAGAACAGAAGATGTAACCAGGCCTGAAAACTTCAACCCAAGTGAACCCAGTCTTTTTACAGATTGTGCAGACAGAATTGCAGCCTCCTTTAGTACACAACTATTGAAAAGCCTTTGCCTCTGTCTGTCCTAAGGGATGTGGCAATCCCTTCCTATCATTTTTATGAGCAGCTCCGAGGCTACATATTTGGGGGTTCCTTACTGAAGGTTACCATCCTCCTAGTGCCAGAGTGGTCTGATGACTTCCAGAGGTGAATTGTTTATGGAAACCTGACAGCCGTGTCAGATTCAGGCAGGTCCTTCCCCAGGCCTCTGAGCGCAGGAACCCGGGGCTGTGCAGTCCTGCTGCTGGGTGATTAATCCTGGATGGGACGGGACTGGGGACTGAAGGCAGAGTATGCACGGGATTTAAAGATAGAGCTAGTCAGAGCAGGCTGTCCCTAAAACACCTTAAATGGACATAACGTGTGAATCAGAGTTCAAGGCGATGGTGCTGATCAGTTTTAAATACAAGAAGATAGAAATGTCAGAGGTCCTTGCTATCCACTGAAGTGCAATGCCAAGATCAGGGTGAGTAGGAACTTCCCCAAGAAACTATATCTGAACAAGATCAGCCCAGGGTCAAAGGTCTGGGACAGCTGGAATACAGTCTGTCCTCCATAGACAGGTTCCATATCTGCCTCCTTTCCCTCTTACTACTTTTTATTCCTCTCTTTTTTTCCATTTAACCATCCATACACATTTTGTTTTATAACATTAATTACGGAACCCACAATGTGACCTCACTTCACTTTTCCCACCTTGTCTCTGCGATTCTCATTGCCATGAATCCTTCTGACCTGCCCCTTCCTGCCTTCTGAGCATCAGCCCTGGGAAAATGCTTGCCTTTTGATCTTGTGTGGTTGATTTTTCTAAGGAGTGGGCGCCTCCCTGGTGTTGTTATTCACCTTATAGACCCACTTCTGGTTGTACTGGGAGTTGAGCCACTGGGGTGTGTCCCACCCTTTCTTCTTCATGTTCCTTGTAGACAGGAAGGGGCCTGACCCAGAGGTAGAGACTCCAGCATAAGTGCAGATGTTGGACTTTGAGGATAAGTAAGCATAGAGCTGGGCCAAAGAAGGAGAAGGCCTCTGGGGAGCCCAGCCAGCACCACTCAGGTTGTTTCTTCCAGTTCATGCTCAGGAGTCCGAGGTTAATGAGAGAAGCATCGTGGAAGAACCTGCCCTGCTAGGCCAAGTCACTACCCATTCCTTCACCACTCTCTCCTCTCCCCTGCTCTGTCCTTTCCCCTGCCTCCCAGGTCCTTGGAGTCTGCTCCTAGCCCTCCTGCTTCCCCAGCCTCTTTCTCAGTGGAGCGTGTTCTCTCCTGTTAGCTGCTGTCAGTTCCCTGACTTATGCATTTCAGAGTAGAAGCACCCTGTAGGATTTCCTTTATGGACAGGATTTCTAGACCTTTCTTCCATAGAACCACAGGGTAGGGTCACACCACCAACCTCTTGGTTTGTAACTAGTCACATACTGCTTGTGCCACCCAGCATCTTCACATGCTCTTCTTTTTAATGTCACAATCACTCTTAACCACAGTTTCTTCACCTTCCCTCTCCTCCCCTCACTCCCACCCCAGCTTCCCTCTGTTTCCCAGACCAGCATACTCCCAGTTGAGCAGTTTACTCAGGAGAAACTCGTGTGTGTCTGAAACTGATGTAATAGTTATAACCACCGAGACTAAAGCAACAATGACTAGGAGTTCTGCCTCCCAAGGGGCATGGTATTGGCACTCACTAGAACTTGCACTGTTTACCCAGTGACTCCCCATATTATGGGAAGAGTGGAAGAAATACTTGAGTAGAGGACCATCCCCCAAACACTAAATTAAACAACTAGACTTATGCCTATTCATCCATTCACCCAGCCAACATTCACTTATTGACACTTTCTGTGTCTCTAGACTAATTTTTAAGGAATCAAAGAACCAGTAATGGCGGGGACAAAGGGAGCAGCTGGCAGTGGGGCTCAGGAAGGACTTTGCCCATTGCCCTCAGTGGTGTAAACAACGTGGTGCCATTGGCTGACGCTTGACTTCATTAACTCTGTAGGAATTTTCCAATCCGAGGAATTCAGTTCTACGACGGCCCCATCAACGTCCAGAACTGCACTTTCCGCAAGTTTGCAGCCTTGGAGGGCCGGCACACCAGCGCCCTGGCCTTCCGCCTGAACAACGCCTGGCAGAGCTGCCCCCATAACAACGTGACCAGCATTACCTTTGAGGATGTCCCGGTGAGTAAGGCTCCTTGCTAACTCCAGGCTCTGGCCAGTGATTCACAAGTCTCCCGGGGCCTGGAGTTTGAGCAGTTGCCACCACCACAGGGCTTGCATAGCCTTCTCCAAGCAGCTTGGGCCTCATCCCAGTTCTCTCTGCTTCCAAACTGGAAAAGTACAAGCTTAGGTTGCCCCACAGGTCATGTCTGGGTGAATGTCCGCTTGCCCTCACCCCATTGTAAGCTCAGTCAAGTCTTAGTAGGAACCTTGTGCTGGGCTCAAGGCTCTGAAGACATTCCTCCAAGAGGTTTTGTTCTGGACATACTTTGTGTTGTGACCAGACCACTTGATTTAACACAATTAATCCAAAACCTCCAGCAGTTTTCAAATACGATGCTCTGTTTAATCTCTCTAAGAGTGGAGTATAAACAAGTTCTTCCTTGCTTTGCAAGAGTCCACAGACTAGGAACTGGGACTGGGGAAGCCAGGACAAAGAGCACCCTTTGAGACTAGGCAGGTTCAGACCTCCTGGTTCATTTTCTTCAGGTTATTATGGGTTGCTGACACCTTCCTCTACTCCTCTATGCCCCTGCCCTTGGCTTCTCTGCCCGATTACGGCAGACGGAGGAGGAAAGGAGAGAAACTTGAGTGACTTCATTCATGTCTTTACTCAGGCCTCTGTGGGCCTGAGCGAGGTCATGGAAATCTCCAAAAACTCATGCTAAAAAACTTCTTCACACATACACACACACACACATTCTCACATGTATATACTTTAAAGTTATGCTTTGTCATACAAACGTTCCCCACGCTGCCCCCATTTCTTCTCTTACCCTTCTCTCCTCTCCCAACTTCTCTCCTCCAGTCTCTCTCCCTATCTCCCATCTCTCTCTCTCAAACACACACACACACACACGGAGTCTTATACATGGAGATACATTTTCCTCATATTCTCCTGCTCTTTCCATCTCCGTCATACACATACATTCTTGTACATATAAATACACATTCCCATACATTTTTCCACATACTACCCTTCTTCTCACACAACCTCCCTGTCTTCTTCCTCTTTCTCTCACACACATGTATTTTTCATGCAAACATTCCTGATATCTCTCTCTCTGTCTTCCTCATACACATTCTCACACATATACCCCCTGTATTCAGATATTCCTCTCTCTCTCTCTCTCTCTCTCTCTCTCTCTCTTTTCTCTCTCTCTCTCCTGCACACTCTTACTCCCTCCCGAATCCTCCTCTCCTTCCATCTGGGCATCAGAGCGGCATCTGGGTCATACCCAGCAGCTGGCCTTCTGGTGAGCAGAGGTCGCTGTGATGTGCCGAGCCTGGGCGTCAAGGCAGGGTGAGCAGCTGCTTATTTTTCTGGCCTCTGAGGGGTCAGCCATGTGGTTTCCTCCACTGCCCGAGAGCGTCTTTGGTTTGGCTGGTTTATAATGTCAGCGGATATCGGAAACTTTGCCCTGGCCTGATGACGGCCGCAGTTTCCCTTCACCTTCTGGCCCAGGCTAACTTTCCTGGGCTCTGTTTAGATTACGTCCAGAGTGTTCTTTGGAGAGCCTGGGCCCTGGTTCAACCAGCTGGACATGGATGGGGATAAGACATCTGTATTCCACGATGTGGACGGCTCGGTGTCCGAGTACCCCGGCTCCTACCTCACCAAGGATGACAACTGGCTGGTGCGGCACCAAGACTGCATCAACGTGCCCGACTGGAGGGGGGCCATCTGCAGCGGACGCTACGCACAGGTGGGACCCTCACCCGACTCACTCACAGCAAGCATCAGTGGGCGTCTGCTCTATGCCCAGGTCTGGGCTGGGCCAGAGGAGATACAACCCTCTCTCCTTCTCTCTACTCCTGTCTGCTCATCCCCTTAGTAAGATTTCCACCAAGTCAAAGCCAAAATACTTTGCAAGTATGAGACTTGGAAGAAAATACTTTGAGGTCAAGCTCTTAGATTCAAGGCAGGCCCAGCACTTACTATGTAACATTGGGCGAGTTATGTAAACTTTTTAAAAAAATATTTTTGTTGGTTCCTTTACAGTATGTTTCATTCATATACATTGTGTTTTATACAATCTTTTACATTCATTTACATTCTGTTTCATACAATAATTCATGTACATTCTATTTTACATCAATTTTTTTTATTGGTTTGGTTACAGAATTTATATACATTGTGTTTCGACTCTGTTGTACTTTCACCCAGTTTTCCTCCTCTGTAACTTTGATAATCAAACCTCGGTGAGATTTCTGAGAGGGAGTATTGGATAATGCAAGAAAACTGCTTACACTAGAGCTGTTCAAAAGAAAGAAAATAAGTGCATACTGTGTGTGTGATTGTAAAAATCTTCGTATTATTGTTAGGTGTTACTACAAACACATCATCCTGTCAAGGTGATTCTTCTGCAGAACCCTACATATAGCAGATGAGAACTTTGCCTGATCTCTGACATCTTTACAACCTCTCTTGTGCTCAAGTCCAGCCATGCTGTCAATCTATCTTTCTTTTGTTCCCCATTTTTTTCCTTTCTGTCATGTGCCATCGAGTCAGATCCATCTGAAACAGGAGGAGATTGCCCCTCCTCCTCCAGCAGAGCATCTGGTGGATTCGTACTGCACACCTTGGGGATGGCAGTTCAGCTTTTTGCCACTAGGCCACCAGAGCTCCCTGTCAATCCATGTTGTTGAGAGTCTTGTTCTTCTCTGACCCTCTACATTTCCCAGCATGATGTCCTTTTCCAGGGACAGGCCCCTCCTGACACTGTGTCCAAAGTATGTGTGATAAAGTCTCACCATCCTTGCCTTTAAGAAATAAGTCCTGACCACATGAAAAGGTTTTTTAAAAACCCAAACAACAAAACCACATGCACAAAAATAACAGGTAGAAGAGGTTTTTATTAAAATGAAAATGAGTTCTTAGAGGTGTTTTTTTTTTAAACTCAGCCTCAAAATATTACCCTCTCAACATGTAGCTGATAGAAAAAAATATTTTTTTAATCTTTGTTTGTTTTTTATTTTCTTTCTTTTTTTACATAATTTTAATGAGCATTTATAGAGATTTTGGATTTCCATTCATTCATTGCTGCACTTCTCTCCCCCCGCCCCCCAGTTCGCTCCTTTCTTTCAAAAGTAAAAGAAACACTCCTTCCCTGGTACACAATGCCCTGCACTCTTCCCGCCGCCCCAAGTACATTCCACTATGCAACCTTAATTGTGGACTCTTGTGATAACCATAATACCCTATCGTACATTGCTTTTAAATTATTCACTCCCTCATCTGTTTCAGTGCAGTATACACGATCTATCCAGTTTTTCTCAGTCTCTCTCCAACCCTGATATCAGTCCCGTTTTACAACAGTGGCACCATGCAATATTTGTCCTTTTGCGACTGAGATATTACACTCAGCATAATGTCCTCCATGCTCACCCATTTTGAATAATATTGCATGAGTTCCTTGTTTTTCAATGCAGCGTAGTATTCCATTGTGTGAATATACCACAGCTTTTCTATCCATTCATTTGTTGATGGGCACCTTGGTTGTTTCCAACTCCTTGCTATTGTGAACAGAGCCGTGATAAACATGGGTGTGCATATATCTGCTTGGATGTCAGTTATGGTCTCTTTGGGGTCTATTCCCAGTAGTGGAATTGCTGGGTCAAATGGTATCTCTATTTGCAACTTTTTGAGAAAGTGCCATACCTCCTTCCACAGTGGTAGTGATAGAAAAAATTATTAATGAGACACTTTATACTTTGTGTGCTTGTATGAGTGTGGATTCTAAATCTTTGAAACCTGGTGTGTATTTTACGCTTCGAGTCCATTTTAGTTCAGATGCTAACTTCTCAACAATTGAAGTGAAATATAATCCTGCCAAAGCAAAAAACTCGTGTCCAGTGAGAAAATATTTTGTGTTGCTTCAGTTCTGAAACTTAAATTTAATTAAGATGAAATTTAAAATTTGTCTTCTCGGTTACACTGGCCACATTTCAAGTGCACTGAGGCCTTCTGAGGCTGCCGTATTGGCTAGCAGAGGTTTCGATAAGGGCTTGGAACATAGCAGCACTCACTCAAACGATAGTTGTATTGGTGCTGTCAAGTGGATTCTGATTCGTAGGCACCCAGTGTGACGGAGTCTCACTGCCCTATAACATTTTCTTGGCTCTAGTCCTTATGGAAGCAGACATCCAGGGCTTTCTCTCAAGGAAGAAATGACTAACTTTTTTAAAAAACTGGGTATTTAGCCATAGTACAGCTAGAAGACTTGGAAATTTTCTCAAGTTACTCTATTTTTGTTAGTAGTATTATTTTATTGGTTTTATAAGGCATAAAGGGAAGGTCTGCAAAAATAAGAATCAGAAGGGAAGCATGCTGAGGCAGGTCGCCCCAAAAGGGAAGGAAGCATAAACTTATGAAAAAGGTGTCCTTCCAGCTACACTCTCTGGTGGTGTAGTCTGTAAGGAGTTGTGCTGCTAAACCAAAAGCAGTGCCTCTCTTGGTGGTTCGAATCCACCAGAAGCTCCACAGGAAATAGATGGGCAGTCTCTGCCTCTTTCCATTTACAGCCTCAGAAACCTGCTGGAGGGTCAGCCACGAGTGAGTTCTGACCATGGCAGTGAGAGAGACAGCTGCCCTGCAAGGCAGGCTTCACTGTCACCTCTGTTGGAAAATAGCTTGGTGGTGATATGAGGTTGAAGGAGAGATTTGTGAGCCAGTGCCAGGCCTAGGGAGAAGGGCAGAGGAAGGCAAGATGCGTGCAAGGAAGGAGGCGTGCGTGCTCAGGGTGGGGCAGGCAGTGCCTGAGGAGGAGGGTGGGGCTAGCGGTCAGCAGGAAAGGAGACCAGAATTCAGGCCTGGAGTTAGGGCACAGGAAGGTGAGGGCGTTCCTAGCAGCTGGCCTCTCTCTTTCTGCACTAGCAGGTGAGGTCATGTGTGGAGCATGCAGGAAGTAGGTCTGTGGAGGGCAGTCTGTAGAGAGTGATAAAGGCTACAAAGTGCTGAGAGTGGGAAATACTGACCAGATGAAGTGGAAGGATTGCCTGGCAGTGCTGAAACTCCCATGGAGATTGGAGATGGTGAATTTGATGAGGCACCTATGTTATGGGCTGCAGGATTTTCTCCAGCCTTGTTCTGCAGCCCCGGGAGAAGAGATGGACCTGGGAAAGGTCCAGGGTGAGGCTCCTGCTGCATGTGGAGACAGAACGAGAGGTCAGGGATTGGATGATTGTGGGAGCTAGTGATTGATGCAGTGGGCTAAAGGAGATGAGAAAGGAAGCAGAGACAGAAAGGAGCAGATAGAGGGAAGGAGAGTAGAATCGCACCCTGACTGACTCAGGCCTCGCACCCTTCTTTCAGCATTATATCTAAGCACCTGTGACTCAGGGATTTGGTATTCTGTGGGGGGGCCTCAGCCTTCCTCCCACCTTTTCTTTCCAAAGCATTACTGTACACTGTATGAAAGGACAGCCTGTTAGAATGTTCCAGCTTATCATATTAGCTTCAGTCAAGTCAGCTCCCAAATAGTGTCAACTCTATACACAATAGAAAGAAACACAGCGCAATCTTGCACCAAACCCAGAATCGGGTGCAGATCAGACCAATGCAATCTGTAGGGTTTTCATGGACTAGGTTTTCAGGAACGGGTTGCCAGACCTTTCTTCATAGTCTCTTTAACCTGGAAGCTCTGCTGAAACCTATTCAGCATCATGGCGACATGCAGGCCTCCACTGACAGATGTGACCTGCGTCATCATTGACTCCTGGTTTATTTTGTTTAATAACCTCTTCACCTCGCTTTACAGCTTGCAGAAGCCTCATATACCTCTTCTCTCTTTTGATCATTGTGATAGTTTCTTAAGAAAGACATCCTAGGGAGCTCTGGTAACCTAGTGGCAAGACGGTGCACTGCAATCCCAGAGGTACTAGGTTCAAATCCACCAGATGCTCTGCTGGAGAAGGAGGGGGGATTCTCCTCCTGTACCAGTCAGATCTGATTTAACGGTACACGTAAAAATAATACAATAAAAAAGAAAGAAAGAAAGACACCCTACCTCACTCACTCACTTAGTCATTGGTCAGAACCAACTCATACCTCACACTGCTAGGTTTCTAGTGCTGTAAATCACTCAGGAGGAGTTTGCATCTTCCTCCCTCGGAGCCACTGGTGGATTTGAACCACCAGAGAGGCATGGACTTGCGGTTAGCAGTGCATTCCCCTATGGACTACGCTGTCCAAGATCCTTAGCCATAAGATAAGTGGGATAAAATGTCTCTTTCCATTTTGGGGGGAGGGGCGGAGAGGGAGGAATTAGAGGAACAATAAGTCCCTTCTTCCCAGGGCACAGTGTCACTGCACCCTGGTGTTACAGTCTGTCCCTCTGGACCACAGCTGCAGGAATGACACCTTATGAATATGAGACACGTGGGTTGCCATGGTCCTATAACCACATTGTAAATCAAGGTTGTCCCAAAGCACTCGGGCTTTGTGGTCCCTGGAACTCACAGGCTGAGAGTTGTGCTTTTCCTTTGTTCATCCAGAGGGGTCTGTGGAGGGGTGGTACACACGAGTTAATGTGCTCAGCTCTTAACTGAAAGATTGAAGGTTCAGGTCCACGCATAAACACTTCAGAACAAAAGCCTAGAGAACAGAAAAATCAGCCATTGAAAACCCCATGGTGTACATGGACAATTCCATCCTCGTACACATGGTGGCGCTGTGAATCACCATAGTTTCCATGACAGCTCATCTCTCATTCATGCAGTGCGCACTGATACCACGTGGACTGGCCCCCAGGCCACACCCTGACATTCAGAGGGAGTGGACACTGCACCCAGGCAGCTGTCAGATGCAGCTAGGATGGCAGGCCACCAAGGAGAAGTTGCATTTGCAGTAGAAGTGTGAACCTGCCCTCTCCCTCTCTCCTCTTTCCCTGTCCTCCTCCTGTTATTATTGTTGTGTGTACCATAGACCCATGGCTGACCCTCCAGCGAGTTTTCAAAGGCTGTTAATTGCACAGGAGGAGATTTCCCATCCTTCTCCTTCAGAGCAGCGGGTGGATTTGAACCGCATGCCTTCGTGATTGCAGCATAGCTTCTTGCCACTAGGCCACCAGAGCTCCCTGCCCTACTCTGACCTCCAAAACTTTGCTTTCTGACTATTAAGCAAAGTTGTCCCCAGTTTTCACTGGTTGCTTTTCAGCAGAGTACTTTTTACATGAGACACAGGATTGCACACGAGGCCTGGGCTGCACCCACTCATAGAACAAGGTGCCCCTTATTTGGCCTTTCTTTCACGCCAGTCTTCTAAACAGGGTACTGCAAAGAGAAAGTGCCTTTGAAAGTGCATCTGTAGTTCAACGTTAACCAGACGCTCTTGGAATAATACCTTGTAATAACCTCACTGTGTCTTTCCTTTTTTGGGTTTTAAAAGATGTACATTCAGGCCTACAAGTCGAGTAACCTAAGGATGAAGATCATCAAGAATGACTCCCCCAGCCACCCTCTCCTCCTGGAAGGGGCCCTCACCAGGAACACACACTACCAGCAGTACCAGCCGGTCATCACCCTGCACAAGGGCTACACCATCCACTGGGACCAGACAGCGCCCGCCGAGCTCGCCATCTGGCTCATCAACTTCAACAAGTGAGTGGGGTGGGGGGGCGGTCAGGGCGGCAGGACCTGGGACAGCTGCTCTAAGGCAGTGGTGGTGTGATGGCTTGCTGTAAAGTGCTGATTGGATTGTTCACAGAACCTCAGCTTAGCCCAGGAAAGCCCTGCAGGAAGAGGTACCCAGAAGTGTTGACAACACCTAGTAGTTAAGAGCTTGGTCTTTGGAATCCATAGCTTCTTGGCCTAGTGGCAAGAAGCTATGCTGCAATCACGAAGGCATGCGGTTCAAATCCACCCGCTGCTCTGAAGGAGAAGGGTGGGCATCCTCGGGGCGCGTATCCTGGAGCCCTGAGGTTTCATCTGTGAGATGTAGATTGAACTTTCTAGATGGGTAATGAGGATCAAAAGAGAGAATAGATAACAGACATTTCTCCCAGGGCCTGGCTTTTCAGGGTAATCAATAAATGGCTAAAATGCCTGGGAATTATTACGACCATTTTATAGAAAGGCATTGAGACTTTCTAAGATGAAATTATTAGAACAAAGTCTTCTGTAGAGACAGGGCTTTCCATGTTTAAGTTGAAGAATTTTCTGTGCACTTTGTGTATTTGTCACAATAAACCTGTGATAGAGGAATTTATTGGAAGCTAAAAGGAAGACTTAAGAATTGGAATGGGTCCTCTGATCATGCTAGATCCCTAGAGCCTGTGGTGTTTCAGCTGCCGTGGAATTGTATGCCTAGTTGAGAGGGTCTTTTTCCCATGCATGTGGGTCACCCCACTGTAGACCACAGAAGCACACAAGCGCCCATTCCCGTGACCTCCTGGCTCACTGACAGTCACTGTTTACCTTTCCCTCCTTGATTGTTTGTGGTTGTTGTTAGATGCCATTGAGTCAACTACAACTCATATAGACCCAAAGAACAACAGATAACTTAGCCCTGCCCTGCGCCATCCTCTCCACCTCCAGCATGCTTGAGGAATTGAGTAACTACCAATCGCAGATGTTCTTTCAAAACTGTGCCTGAAAAAAAAACAAATGGAGATGACCTTTGGTGGAAGTCTTTGCTTTCTCTCCAAGGCACATCCAGAGGGCCGGGTGAATGGAAGGAACGTCCTTTCTTGATACTTACCTCTACTTCTTCTCCTAGGGGTGACTGGATCCGAGTGGGGCTCTGCTACCCCCGAGGCACCACCTTTTCCATCCTCTCGGACGTCCACAATCGCCTGCTAAAGCAAACTTCCAAGACTGGCACATTCATAAGGACCTCACAGATGGAAAAAGTGGAGCAGAGCTATCCCGGCAGGAGCCACTACTACTGGGACGAAGAGTCAGGGTGAGCAGGCCCCCCTTGGCCGTAGGAGAAAGTGACTCCGCATGACTCCGCGTTCGGTTACGCTGACATTTTCAAAACTCCTTGGAAATATCATGCGATTGTTATTGCTGTTGCTGTTAGGGGCCATCAAGTAGACTACAACTCATAGCAACTCTGTGAACAACACATCTGAGCCTCGCCATCTCCTGTGCCAACCTCACAATCCCCCCCACACTCAAGTACTTTGTTATAGACACTGTGTCAATCTGTCTGATTGAAGGTCTTCCTCTCTTTCTCTGACCCTCCACTTCCCCAGCATTATGATTTTCCCCAAGGACTCCTCCTGACAACATACCCAAAGTACACGAGATGATCTCTCACCAGCCTGACCTTGAAGGAGCACCTTGGCTGCACTTCCTTTAAGATAAACTTGTTTGTTCTTTTGGCAGTCGCTGAGATATTTAGGACTCTTCTCCAACAAGGGCATCGATTTTTCTTTGATCATTCTTACTTCTTTTTCAACTTTCAGATTGGTGGGAGATAATTGAAAATACCATGACTTGCATAAGGACATACATAGTCTTTCTTTAGGGAAATATAACTTTTAAATTGGATTTCAACACTTGTTCTCATTCCCATGAAAGATGATCCAATAGAATATAGAAACTATCAAACAATGGCATTAGTATCACACATGCAAGCAAAATATTGTAAAGATCACTAAAAAATGGCTAGAACAATACATAAATAAGGAATTTCTGGAAGTTCAAGCAAGATTTAGAAGAGGTTGTGGCACCAGGGGTATCATTACTGACGTCAGATGGATCCTGGCTGAAAATAAAACCAGAAGAATGTCTATTTACACTTTATTTACTATGCAAAGGCATTTGACTGTGTGGTTCATAACAAGCTGTGGCTAACATTGAGAAGAATGGGAATCCCAGAGCACTTAATTGTGGTCATGTGAAACCTATACTTAGACCAAGAGACTGTTGTGCAAATAGATCAAGGGAACATTGTCGTTGTTGTTGTTGTTGTTGTTGTTGTTGTTATATGCCATCAAATTGCTTGTAACTTTCAGGGCCTGTAGCCCTGAAACCGGCTCTATCCTGTGCCAACTTTACTGTCTGACACACCCTCCCTAATTAACCCAGTCACTGAATCAATCCATTTTATTGATGGTCTTCCTCTCTTTCTCTGCCCCTCCACCCTCCCAAGCATGATGTCCCTCTCCAAGGACCGATTCCACCTTGCAACATGCCCAAAGTATGTCAGACAAAGCCTCAGAATCCTTGCCTCCATTCCCTTGCCACCTTATGCCACTTTTGCTGCATAAATTTGTCCTTTTTTCACCATAATTTGTCATTCAGGGGCCTTGCTGATGTAGTGCGTTCATTATTGAGCTGCTAACTGAAAGGTTGGTGGTTCGAATCCTCCAGTTGTTATGTAGAAGGAAGAATAACTGTTTATGTTCTTGGGAATCCGAAGGGGTCATTCTGCTCGTCCTCAAGGGTCACTGTGAGGCCGAAGGAGCCAGCCAGCACTGGGCTGGGCTCTTGGTTTACTTTATCCTTGTTCCTCTCGATGTTTGTGTTGTGCTGTAATGCAGTGATGCCTTTGGGGTGATGAGCTGGGTTTTAGGATGATTGTCTCTTAAATAGAAAGACTCCTAACTCCTGGATCTTAGGGCTCTTGTTAATGATAACTCTTAGAAATTGTTAGGTGCCCTTGAGTTTGACTTGTAGCAACCCTAAGAACAACAGATCGGAACCCCATCCTGCCCTGTGCCAGCCTCACCATCTGAGTGCAGTCCCTCACCACTAAGCCACCAGGCCTCCCACCAGCAACGATTTACAAATTCATGGTCATTTATTGCTCACACTCAGACTCTCTGCCCATGCTAACTACTTGCTGATTTTGGTAACTACTTCCAGTGCCTGAGGGCGAGAGCCGCGGTGGTTCCCCACAGAAGATCCAGGTTTCCTTCATCACCCGTCCGTCAGGGGAGGCTTCCATGTTGCTCAGATGCTGAGCAGCTTTGAGTGGAGCTTCCAGACTAAGGTAGACTGGGAAGAAAGGCCTGGAGATCTCTGGCTGAAAACCAGCCAGTAGCAACCCTATGGATCGCAATGGTCTGATCCTGAGGTTGCTGTCAGCGGCCATCTGAACAGCATCTGAAACAACAATAACATACTGCTTTAACTGAGCACTTAACCACTGTGTCACCAGGGCCCCACTGGAGCTACACAGTCTGCATCCTGCCTTCTCCCACTTCGGTCCTGAGAATCCCCCAGAAGGCGTTTTGCAGAGCTAAAGAAAACGATGAACAGGGTGTTCCAGGCTAGAACCTTGGTTCCTTATAGTCCGATTGCCTGTAACTGGAACAGCCTAAACTCCTTCACAAAAGCAGGAATAAATTCTAACTGGGGCGAAGGAGACCATGAAAAGACTGATTTCATTTTCTTTGCCAAGCATGGTGATGTGGTGGGAAAAGTGTGGCCTTAGACATCAGAGCGGTGGGTGTCATCCCACCCCTACTGCATCATTCTAGGGGGGTCCCTTCCATTCTCTGACCCACACTTTCCCCGTCAAGGACATGAGGATAATAGCAGTACCCACTGGGCAGGATTGGTTGAAGATTAAATGAGATCATGTATCTCTTTGTGGGGGGTGTGTGTGGTATGGTAGATAGTACACGTTCAGAACAGAATTGTCTTTATTCTTAATTGTCTGTCAAGGTTCTTAATATTTTTTTAATTTGTTCAACCACACGTAACCTTCCTGTAGACACGGCTGTGTTATATAAGGTTCTTGGGGCTTGACTGCATTACCCACCACTTAAGTAAGCGTTGGTAAATGTCTTGGGGTGAAGAGGAGAAGGAGGAGGTTTGAATGTCAAAGCAAAGCTCCCAGCTATGCTCCCTGTTTGCAGGCTGTTGATCCTGAAGTTGAAAGCTCAGAATGAGAGAGAAAAGTTTGCCTTCTGCTCTGTGAAAGGCTGCGAGAGAATCAAGATTAAGGCTCTGATCCCGAAGCAGGCGGGTGTCAGCGACTGCACGGCCACGGCCTACCCCAAGTACGCTGAGAGGGCTGTGGTGGACGTGCCCATGCCCAGGAAGCTCTTCGGGCCTCAGCTGGTGAGTGGCTGACAGGAGAGCCCCATCAGGCTCCTCTCTAAACATCTACCAGCTCCACAAACCATGTTCTGGGGGCAGGATGTTGGGGTGAAGGTGAGGAGTTGGCCTGCCCGTCAGGACATGGACTGGACATCTCTCACCTAACCCGCACGCTGGATCTTTGTTTTCCAGAAGACACAGGACCATTTCTTGGAAGTAAAGATGGAAAGTTCGAAACAGCTCTACTTCCATCTCCGCAATGACTTTGCTTACATTGAAGTAAGTGGCCTTTGGCCCCCTTGCAGGGGCCCCCATTTGCTTGCTGGGAGGGTGTACTGGTATCCTAAGCACAAACTGAGTGGCTTAAAGCAACGGAAATGAATTCTCTGACAATTACGAGGGCCAGATGTCCAAATGAGGGTGTGAGCAGGGCTGGCTCCGTCTTGGAGCTCTGAGGGAGCGTCCGTCCCGTGCTTTTCTCCTGGTCTCTGGGAGTTGAGGGCTATCCTGCGCTGCCAACTCCATCACTTTAGTAGCTCTGCCTCCATCAATGGCCTTTCTTTCAAAGTCTCAAGTCTCCATCTGTCTTTTATAAGAGGGCCTGTCATTGGCTTGGTTGTTGGTGGGGGCCATCAAATCAATTACAACTCATAGCAACCTTGTGAAGAACAGATCGGGACCTCATGCCTTCCTCATGACCTCTGCCATGCTCATGCCCCCTATTACAGTCAGTGTGTCAGTCCATCCTGCTGAGGGTCTTTCCTCCATTCACTGACCTTCAGTTTTTCCCAGCACGATGTCTCTTTCCACGGACTAGCCCCTCCTGACAACATGCTCAAAGTCTATGAGACAAAGTTTTCACACTTCACTGTCATTTTGTCGTATGACAGTGGTTTGAGTGTTGCTGTGATACCGTGTCACTAGTACTTCAAATGCCAGCAGAGTCACCCGTGGAAGACAGGTGTCAGAAAAGCTTCCTTGCTAAATTCCAACTGATCTCATCTCGAGATCTTTACATTCATCTCATCTGAGAAAACTATTTCTGAATAAGGTCATGCTCATGGGTTCTGTGTAGATATCTTTTGCAGGAGTCTCCGTTCAACCCACCACAGAGGGCCACAGGGAAGTGATGAATGAGGATTTTGTGCTCTAAACAGTTGCGTAGCCAACCTCTGTCTTCAGAGTCCCCATAGAACTCCCCTTCAGAAGAGCCAGTGGGCATCGGCTGCCTCAGGACCCCCCCCTTGACCCGCTGTGTTACCTGGCTCTGCAGGTGGATGGGAAGAAGTACACGAGCTTGGAAGACGGCATCCAGGTGGTGGTGGTGGATGGGACCCGAGGACACGTGGTGAGCCACATGAGCTTCCGGAATGTCATCCTCCAGGGCATTCCATGGCAGCTCTTCAACTATGTGGCGTCCGTCCCCGACAAGTGAGTGCTGCCCCTGCTCTGGACCATGGCTCCACAGACCCCCACCCTGGGGCCCCCCCGCTAGCACTGAGGCCTTTATCGCCAGCCAGTCAGGGGAGGCTTAGAGAGTCTTTACGGCCTGCTCGCTGGGAAAGCTCCCTGCCTGCTGGTGACTCCTGTATTGGAGCCAGGGGCTGATAGGAATGTAGGTCAGCCCCATACTGACTGGACAGCCCATTCACAAGTGGGAAGCCTGCCTCAGCCTCCTCTCCCTTCCCTGACACTCTCCCAGCGTGATCTCATCCCCTCCCACTCCTCCAATGGGATCCACATGCGGGTGACTCCTACTTCTCTAGCCCAGAATCTGGGTGTCACATCTGACCCTTCCCCATCCCTCCCTCCCCACACTCTGTAACTGGATCCCGTCAGTTTTGCTGTGTTACTGCTCTCTTGCTAATCCCCTCCACGGCATGCTCTCTGCCGCTGCTTGGCCCACGCTTTCTCGTCCATCACCGTGACAGTTGGCCAAGCTCTTAACAGGCCTCCCTCTTCCAGTCTCCCCAGCGCTAATCCATCTTCTATAACTGGCTACTGGCTTTAACTTCTTCAGCGTAGGGATCACCTCTGCCCTTTGCTCGGAGACCTTTGACAGTCCCCACGCAGATCTGACACATGCATCTTCTCCCCCACGAGGTCTCTTCTATCCAACCAAAGACTAATGCATCTGCTGAAGCCTCCCTCCCTCCCTCCCAGAAGGACTTGTGGACACGTCTGCTCCTCCCTCTAGATTGTGGTCTGCTTGGTGTGGGAGCCCTGTGAGATTTATCTTTGCGTTTCCACTATAGCTCTGGGGTATAGAATTGACTCAGGAGCCCAATCTGGCGTAGCACAAAGTCCAAGTAAAGTGCTTAACATAATACTTACCATGGCTTCACAGTATATAAGTGAATGAAAGCAAATGTACTTTGCGGTGCTGACTGATGACAACTTGACATGGGCTCCACACCACTTGAGGCTCAGGAGAGCCAGGTTTCTGCCTTACCACCTTCAGCCCCTCTTCCAGGCTCCCAGCACATACTTCAGTAGCACTGCATTTTCACACACATAATCATGCAAAAGGGATCCTGCTTTCCCAATTTGGGAAAATGAAATTTATCCTCTAAGGATTGGTAGTTTTCTAGCCTTTTCATTGCCAAAAAAACCCCTTTTCCTTGAAATGAAACAGGATGCAGAAGGCTGGAATATGGAATGAAAAAATGCAGAGCCGCTATGTTTGGAAGAGGAGTAAGAGACTTGGAGCTGCCCGTCTGATTTTCCCCGTACAGCAGCTCCAGCGAGCCCCTCACTGAGGACCTGGCATGGCAGGCGCCGGGTTGGTGCTGTGATTAAGACCAAAACTGGGTAGCACCTGATCCCTGTCTTACCTCCTGGAAAGGAATGAGAAGGGGGCAGTGCAGATGCTGCCTCAGTGTCCCCGCAGACCCAGCCCAGTTCTCCAACCCCAGTGCCTCTGTCTTCTCCACTCCATCCCAGATGCCACCACTGGTCCCAGGGTCCCAGGAGAAGAGGGGATAGCTGCTAACCCTAAAAATGTCCAGGATCCCTAAACTAAAGAAAGTTCTAGTGACTTCTGGGCGCTGCATCTGCCTCATCGGGGAGACTCCACACTAGTTGGTGTTGGGGATGGATACCTGGGAACCCACACCAGGCAGAACCAGCTGATTCCTAGTAGATTCCAACTCCTGGTGACCCTCGTGTGTCCAAGTGGAATTGTGCTCCATCAAGTTTTCAATGGCTACATTTTTAGAAGTGGATCACCAGGCTTTTCTTCTGAGCTACCTCTGGCTGGCCTCAAACCTCCACCTGTTCAGTTAGAAGCTGAAAGCAGCTCAGGAAGACTAAGCAAAGGATTATAGTGAAATATGCAAAGAGCTAGAGTTGGAAAACCAAAAGGGCTGAACTCTCTTAGGATTTCCTAAACTGAAGGAACTGAAGAACAAATTCAAGCCTCGAGTTGTATACTTAAGGATGCTATGGGTAGAATATTGAATGATCCAGGAAGCATTAAAAGAAGATGGAAGAAGTATACAGAGTCATTGTACCAAAAAGAATTGACTGACACAGAAGAATTTCAAGAAACAACATCTGTTCGAGAGGCAGTGGTGATGAAGGAGGAAGTTCAAGCTGCTCTGAAGGACTTGGGGGAGGGAAATAATAAATAAAAAGGCCACAGGAATTGATGGAATGCCAGCTACATATTTTGATAGACAGATGTTGCCCTGGACATGCTCACCAAGTTGTGCCTAGAAATCTGGAGGACACCTACCTGGCCAACTGACTGAAAGAGATCTCTATTTATTCCCATTCCAAAAAAGGGTGACCCAACAGTTTGTGGAAATGCTCAAACAACACACATGCAAGCAAAAGATTATCCAAAATGACTGCTGAAGATTATCCAAAAATGACTGGAACAGTCAGTAGTATATCAACAGAGAACTACCAGAAATACAGGCTTGGTTTAGATAAGGCTGTGGCACCAGAGATATTATTGCTAATGTCAGGTGCATCCTGGCTTGAAAGCAAAGAGTACCAGAAAAATGTCTATCTGTATTTCATTGACTTATGCAAAGGCATTTGACAGTGTGGATCACAACAAATTGTGGCTAACATTGAGGAGAATGGAAATCCTAGAACACTTGATTGTGCTCATGTGAAACCTATACTTGGACCAGGAGGCAGTTGTCAGAACAGAGCAAGGAGACACTGCATTGTTCAAAATCGGGAAAAGAGTGCATCAGGTATGTGTCCTGTCTCCATATCTTTTCAGTGTATAGTGTAACAGATCATTTGGCATACTGGACTTTATGAGGAGGAATGTGGCATCAGGATTGGAGAAAGACTCATCAATAACCTATGTTATGCAAATGATGCAACCCTGCTCACTTAAACTAAGGAGAACCTGAAGCATTTGCTGCAGAAGGGCAAGGACTGTAGTCTGTAGTATGGGTATTGAAGCGCAACATCAAGAAGACGAAGATTCTTACCACTGAGCCAATTGGCAGCACCATGATAGATGGAGAAGAGATTGAGGTTGTTAACAATTACAGCTTGCTCAGATCCACAATCAACACTCTTAGGAAATCAAAAAGACAAATTGCTCTGGGGAAAGCTATTGTCAGGGACCTCTCCAAAGTGCTAAAGAGCAACAATGTCAGTCTGGAGACTAAGGTGCACCTGATTCAGGCCATGATCTTCTCAATTGCTTGTGATGCTTCAGAGAGTTGGACAGTGACTAAGAATGCCAGAAGAATAATTGATGCCTTTGAGTTGTGGTGCTGGAGAAGTCTTCAACATACCATGGACCACCAAGAAAACTAAGAGGTCTGTCTTGGAGAGGGTGAAACCAAGTTTCTCCTTGGAGGCTAGAATTTTGAAGCTCCATCTCACATACTTTAGGCATGTGGCCAGGAGGGACCAGTCTTTGGAGAAAGATATCATCTTTGGAAGGGTGGAGGGAAAGGTCAGGAAAGGAAGTCCTAAGATGAGATGGACTGACACAGTGACTGGAGTAATGGGGGTAGGTGTGTCAGAGTAAGTGAAACTGGCTTAGGATAGAGCAGGCTTCAGAGCTATTGTTCATAGGGGTCGCTGTGAGGCACAAGTGGCTCAGTGGCATATAATAACAACCACCACCACCACACAGGGACTCCATTGCAGGCAGAGAGGCACTTAGAGTAGGCTGGCAGGAGGCTGCCACCCAGCAGGAGCTCCTGTGAACTAACTCATCTAGGTGGTGTGACCTTCACTTCACCTGTCCCAGAAGGCAGACTCAGCTGAGCCAAGGTGACTTTTACTTTTCCTTCTGAAATGGAATGATGGGCTAATATCCTCCTGAAAACAAAGCCTGAATCCACCGTGGAGTGTGTGCTCAGGATTCAGCCTCTCCTAACCAAGCCTCGTCTCACCAATCCCCTGACCATTCCTTCCCTGGCCTTCCTGAAGAGCTCGGAGCGACCCCAGCTCCCTTCTCATCCTTCCTTTTTGCACACGAGCCCTTTACGCTTTAAGAACTTTCATTCTGCTCCCAATGGGACACAGATGTGGGTATCAGTGGATTCCAGATCCCATATAGTTTTTCTGTGTCTGGACCATAGTCTGTGGTTACGATGTTCTTTTGACCTGGGTATGAGCTCTCCACTGGATTTCTACTCCTATCTGTGCTCCTGAGGGATGTGCTTGCTTCCTTCTGTCTGTCCCAGCATGCTGAGTCAGCTTCCACAAGGCCTTGTCCTCAGCACTTTCGTTTGAACAGTACAGTTCCCCCTGAATACAAGTGTTTAGGCTTTCAACTGCTAATTGAAAGATGGGCATGTTCAGACCCTCCCATGGGTGCCACAGAAGAAAGGCCTGGCAACCCTCTGAACTTCACAGCCTTGACAATCATGTGGAGTACAATTCTGCACTCTATACACTGCCTCTCCATGAGTCAAAATAAAACTCCAAGACAACTAGTAGAGTGATTTGAGAGGTTTTTCCTGGAGAGAGAGAAAGAGACAGATAGGGAGAGAAAGAAGTGTTGTGTCCAATTATAGCCCAAGACAAGGAGGGGAAGAGAGTCCTTGGTTCCAAGTAGGGATTTTGCAAATTGGGCCCATCAAGATTGGGCACATGCTTGGCTTTGGGCTTCTCTCCCTCCCAAACAGGCTCCCCTTTGGCAGAACCTCTCAAATATTAACTCACTTTCTGCCTTTTCTTCCTATTTGCAAAGTGGAGGCAACTCACTTTGTCTTGCTTGACTAAAGAGGAAGGTGACAGGAGCAGAAAAGATCAGTGGTCCCCTGAGCGTGTGGCACCTTGACGTGATGCTTTCCCCAGAATGACCTCAAGGGTGGCCACACTCAACCTGCAGTTCTGAGCTAAGAAAAGTCTAGGCCCACCAAAGGAAGACATCCAGATAGACAGAGCTTCTCCATTGCTAGTGTCCACATACTCTCCTGGAAATCATGGCAAAACGCATAATCCTGACTCAGAAGGCCTTGGTGGGTGGGGGTGGAGGGCTGGGATAGAGGCCGCTTTCCTGAGGGCTCCCAGCTGATGCCTGTGCAGCTGGCCCCGGCCTTAGCATCTCAGGAGCTCTGGTGACACGTTGCACTCCACTCTGTCCTCTGCCCCTTCATTTCTTCTTCCCCATTTCCACCCACCTTTCAGCTCTGGCTCTCTGCCATCATGTTTCTGTTAAACCTATTGGTGTTGAGTCAGTTCTGACTCACAATGACCTTCCATTTGGTTCCTGAGGCGAGAAATCATTATGGGAGGAGTCTGCCCCTCTACTTCCCGAGGAGCAGCTCGTAGATTTGAACCACTGACCTTTCGGTTAGCAGCCCACCATATAGTGCACTACGCCACCATCTAACCCAATACAAACAGGGCTGAGGTCCTTCAGTTGAAGAAATGCCCCCTCCTCTGTGCCTGGCCTTGGCATGTGTGCTGGCGTTCCAGATGACGTGCTGCGTACACACTGTCCTCTTTGAGGAAGGAGGTGTCAGAGCAGCGAGCCGAGTCCAGGCTTAGAGAAGGCCACGAGCACCAACTGCAGCCAGACGAGTGGGAAGGTGTCAGGATGTTCGTCACCATGTGGGAAGAGCCCGTCAGCTTGGCCTGCTGGAGAGACTGCCCCTTCTCATGTCCCTGGCTGGGTCACACACACACAGAGTCCACCCTTCACTCTCATTGCTCTCTGAGTCATCAAATCCTTTTCTTCCCACCCAGTTCCATAGTTCTCATGGCATCAAAGGGAAGGTACATCTCCAGAGGCCCATGGACCAGAGTGCTGGAAAAGCTCGGAGCAGACAAGGGCCTCCGACTGAAAGGTAAGGATTGGCTTTTAACTGGAACAGGAAATGAGGACGTGAACACCTCTCAGGAGGTTGCTATGAACCGTAGAGAACTCCATACCTGCTAAACTTGGGTGCGGTGGCAGAATCCTGACCACAGCTGTGCACGTGATGGAGCCAATGGTCAGGACGCCCCCTGCTCACCCTCTGTGCGCTCACCACCCCGCTGCAGTGGGTGCAGCACCAGCTCGTGAGCCTTGTGCGTCAACGAGTGGTTTGCAGAAATCGAGAGCCAGGCTTTTCTTCTGAGTTACCTCTGGGAGGACTCAAACTGTGACCCTTTCGGTTAGCAGCCAAGCACGCTAACGATTTATACCGTCCAAGAATTCCAGACTTCCAGGAGAACAGCTTTATCTTGACAATCAGACACTGGAAAATGTTTGCAGTTGTTCACCCATCTACTCAACAAGTGCCTCTTTACTCATCAAGTGTCTTTAGCAAGGAGGCTTTTCCTGGCCTCCTGGTCTCGTGCCTGCTATTGAGATTCCCTGGGAGCCTGGCCTTCCCCAGCATTCCAGCTGATGCCCAAGACCAGTACACTCTCTCTTACAGTTTGCACATAGCACCTTGGTATATGCTTTCTCTTCTACCTCTGGGCACAAAGTTCACTGACACTGGGATTGATGCATAGAGCACCTTCCAGCAGGTTGTTGGGGGCTGAAAGGCACACAGGAGGAATGTGTGTGTCCTAGCCACAGAGCTGCTGGTGGAATGGAACTGCCTGAGAAGGTGGCCCTGCTGAGTTAGTCACACACCGCCTTGCAGATGAGGCCACCAGCCCCTCCGGGAAATGGACCAAAACCCCAAAAGACAGTGGAGTCAATGTTCATGAAAGGTGCAGATTAGAAAACTATGCTCCATAGAGTTTTCAAAGCTGTGCTCTTTTGGGAGAACATCACCAGCCCTTTTTTCCAAGGCCTCTATCAGCCTTTCAAATAGTAATCAAGTACTTGATCTGGCAACCCAAGAACTTCCTCCTGTATGTAGGAAAAGCAGAAATGAAAGCCCAGAGGGTCTGATTGGCTTGTCTGAGGCCACACAGCTTTGCAGTGTTGAAACCTGACACAGAATCCACCAGGACGAGGCCAGCTGGGACAGCCATGGGAGGCTTTTACACTCCCTGCCGTGTCCCAGACAGTGGAGCAAGGATCTAAGGAGGGCTTCAGAGGACTGTGGAGCAGCTGTGCTGGTCATAATGGTAATAGGATTGTAGTCTTCGTTGACCCTGCAGCCTTGCCTTCTCAGGAGCACAGTTGCAATTATCTCACTTATCTATTAATAACTAATACAACAGGTACTAGTAGATCCATTGAAAGAAGAGGAAGCTGAGAATTAAGGAGTTAAGCCAGGAGTTTTGAATTCTTAATCTTCCTAATCCCAAGTCATTGTTCTTCATGGAGTTACCTCATCAGCAACTGTCAACAACAGATTTAGGAGAACTGAGTTGTTCCGAGCCATTCTGGCTGACCCTGGGGTGCCCCTGGAGTCAAAGCCCTCATCTGTCTTTGCTGTTGTTATGTGCTAGCTGATGGACTCAAACTGTGTGTCTTCAGCTTCGCAGTATAACTAACTCCTTACCACTGGGCCACCAGAGCTCATGTCCGTTTTCTGTCTTGGACAACTAATTTGTTGCAATAACTTTGTTCTTTCAATTCTTTATCTATAAATGGCAAATTGTCATCAAATAGTCTTACTAGGTGATTATGAGGGGAACTCTGGTGGTAGCTTGGAGGTAAGGAGTTGCACTGCTAACGCATAAATACGTGGTTCAAATCCACCAGCTGCTCCATGGGAGAATGGGCAGTGACCTCCTGTGTTGTGTGTGTGTATTTACTGCCTCTGAAAACCCACTGGAGAGTCAGCTGTGGGTTGGTTTTGGTTTGACAGTACACAACAACAGGTGCTTATGAGGATGAGATGAAATAACAGGTTACAATGAGTGATGATAATAAGATACATTTAGAACCTCGTGAAGATCGTTATTATTACTAGTGTGATCCACTGTGATTGTGTGTTAAATTTTGGTCTTTCTCTCTAAGAGGGTAGAAACAGGATTTGATGTACTATAGTGTCTGCGAGTAATATAGTACTTTGTTCACAGTAGGGCCCAGATTAATGCTTGTTACTTAAAAAAGCTAGAGTTTATGCTATCTTTGCAAAAGAAAAGAAAATGAAGTGTGCATTCTTAGCTACTATATTCTTATGGCTATGAAAGGCCACCATACTAGACTTTTATCCTAGGCAGCTCCCAGGGCAAAACTGGAAACAGCGGGAGCCCCTCCAGTCAGTCAGAGGTGAACGTGGGGAAGGGAGTGTTTTCTCCTAGACTCTGTTTTAGGCTTTGGCCTTTAAGACTTACTGTCCTAAATCTGAGGAGCCTGGCTGGTACAGCGCCTTATGTACTGGGCTGCTAACCGAAAAAAAGGTCAGCAGTTTGAATACTGGCCGCTCCTCGGGAAAATGATGAGCAGGGTCCTCCTGTGAAGATTGATTTACAGCCTCAAAAACCGATGGAACTTAAAGAAAAGTCAGAAAAAATGGACTTGAGAGCAGCGGGCTTGGTTTTGGCTGGTTTGTCCTCAGCCTGATGCGTGGAAGGTGGCCTAAATCGAGTGGCACTTTCCCAGTGGTGACAGACCTGTGCCTGCTGACCAGGTAGCTGTTGGAATGGGAGTGTGGACGTGATGGGAGTGTGGACGTAATGGGAGTGTGGACATGATGCGCTCCTGGTCAGGCCTCCAACTGCAATAGTGAGAGCCTCCTGGGCTGCATCTGCAACCTTGGGCGAATCCTTTCCCTTCCCCGAACCACCTTCACAGACCACAGAATGTTAGCAGGGAAGCATATCTTGTAAATGCGTGCCAGTGCTTGGCAGGTGGGGAAAGTGGGCTGGAAAGAGGACAGGGCCTATGGATGTAGGGACGTGGGTGTGGTTGTGCCAGGTCTCTGCCCCTTGCCTCTCCACCCACAAGCGCCCCTGAGCCCTCACTGTGCTGAGATGGTGGTGACCTTGGATGATATCCTGCATGCCCAGCACAAAAACCACAAGCCCTCAGGACCCAGCCCTAATGCGACAGCGGGAAAGGTCACGTGGCGCTCGGGCCTAGGATGGTGCTGGTGCAGGGCTGGCTTAGCCATTCTTTCTTTCTTAAGGACTCTGCTCATATGATTCTTTGCTTTACAGAGAAAATGACGTTCATTGGCTTCAAAGGCAGCTTCCGGCCCATCTGGGTGACTCTGGACACTGAGGACCACAAGGCCAAGATCTTCCAAGCAGTGCCCATCCCTGTGGTGAAGAAGAAGAAGCTGTGAGGACCGCCGCTGCCCCATGCCGCCCCGTGGTGCCCACTGCCAGGAGGGTGTGGCAGCAGACCAGGGCAGGGTGGCCAGGTGCCCCAGTCCCCTACCAGCAGCTGCTTGGGAAGGCTGTGTGTCAGCCCTGATGGGCTAAGGGCAGATATCGGGGACCCCCTGTGCTGCCCACCTGCCCCACTCAAATGTCTACCTTCCACTGGGGTGGTGCCCGCCGATGCTGGGAGCCGGCTCTTTCCTGCAGCCTCTAGGGTGCTTCTCTCCCATCTGTGCCTCTTCACCAGGATGGGTTTGGGGACCATTCCAGGAGAATTGGACTGTGTTGGCAGCAAAGGGCCACCACTGCAGGAGCCCTGACCCAGCTAGGAGGTGGCTGGGGGTTGGAGGGGTGGTGCCTTCACAGACCCCCATGTTTTCCAGTAAGCACTATGTATGGGTGGTGGAGCTAGAGAAGAGCCCTGGCCGTAAGGGAACTGTTCTTCCCATGAGCACGAATCCGCTTCCACGGGCTGACGAGCTGGTGTGTGGACAGAGTTCAGCAAGATGGAATCAGCTCCCTTTGGAGAAGCAGAGACCTCTGCTTTTGGGGTAGCGGACTGGGGGTTGGACTAGGTGACTTTTCAAAGTGCTTTCCAGCTCTGAGATTCTAGAAGTCTGGAGTTTTTCAGATTGTACCTTGAGCCCAGCAGGAGATGGTGACAAACAGAGTGCTGGGTGCCCCAAAGCATTCATCATTAGGGATAGGGGGCAAGGAGATTCCCTGCAGTCTTGAGGGGCAGGCAATCACAAGTACACCTGCCCGGTGCCTGACAGGGAAACGTAAGGGAGAGTTGAGGGGGAGCTCAGTGCAGATCCAAGGAGACAAAGATGTCATGTTCTGGTTGGACCAGGAAGAGGACAGGGCATTGCAATTGCAGAAGCCGATCACAAAGTGGGCAAGAGACACGTAGACTCTGCACAAGGGGGGACATTCAGATGGCAAACCAACACATGACCGGATGTTCAGAGGCGGCTTCTGCAGAGGTTCCTTCTTGCCACCACTTGCTGGCATTGTTTAGTCACCCTGTGACCTCAGTCCCAGGGCCTTCTCATAACGTAGAAATGCACATAAGTGAGGAATAAGCTGGGCTCGGTGGCGTAGTGTGTGGTGTGTCACACTGCAAACCAACAACAGCAGTTGAAACCCACTGGCTGCTCTCTGTGAAAAAGGTACACAGAGTGGGGTCCCACGCTGCAGCACATTAGGGCTGGTTTAATCATGCTAAGAGCCCTGGAAATGCGGCCTCTGGCCCCACTTCTGACTCCAGGAGAAGGTGGAGGCAGGCAGATGAGGTGCCAGAGAGGCTCCAACATCAGTGCCTCCTTTCTTGGGAACTGAGCAGCAAAAGCACTCGGGAAATAGGAAGCTGTGTTCAACAGCTCTGTGATTCTGGCAGGTCAGAGCTGGAAAGGACCTTCGAACACATCCAGTCCAAACCCTTCGTTTTACAGACAGGAAAGGGAGACCCTGAGATGGGGAAGAACCACAAGGCCAGGGCGGAGCCAGCACGGGGCGGGGGGGGGGGGGGAACCCCACACCCAGCACTTCCTGCCACACCACACTGCCTCAACAATGGTCCTGCAGGGCCCTGGCCACCCCTGAAATAGCTTCCACCCACGAGGCCCCTTTAAGGGAAAGAAGATGATCAGAATATAATTAGCCAGTGAGGGTCCCCTGCCCCTCTGTGCACACCTGTGCCTCCTCCTGGCTTGGTGGGTTCCTGGAACCTTTGCTGTATTCATTCTACCTGAATCCCTCTCCCAGGAAGCCTGGCAGCTGCGAATATTCCATTGGTGCTACCTGATCGCAGCCTGCACGTGTGGGCCAGTCAGCACCAGGACATGCAGAAATGTCTGGTGACCCAAGTTGGCTGATCTTTGGGGTGGGGTAAAGAGCTGTTGGAGCCACCCCAAGCCCTCTCAGCTATTATGGTTTAATAATACCCCATTGTCTCTGTTCCCTACCTTGGAGCGAGCTAAGAGAGTCCCTGGAGGAGGTAAAACCACATCTGATTTGTTGTACTCTCAAGTGAGGCACCAGGGTCTTCCCAGGTCTCATGACAAATCAGACTGGTTCCTTTTCCTGCCCCAGCCACAACTCTTCCCCTCAAGAGGGGCTCTCTTGGCTCATCTCTGGCCAGCTGCACTCTTGCAATTCAGTCAGCAAGTCAACTCCCAGGTTCAGCCAACTACCAGCAAGGTCTTTCCCATCAACAGGCTGTTGGCAGCCGACAATGGGACTCCCTTAAGACAAAGCAGCTTTCCCAGATGAAAGCACAGGAAGGACCTCTCCCAGGGAGGTCGCAACCAGGGGGAGGGAGTCAACATAACCTCATGTTCTTCCTCCTGTCTTCAGTTTTGTGGAGTCTTCAAACTCCTTCATTGTGAGGGTCTCACACTGTGAACCACTTGGGGTGGGGGGGTAATCACTTCCCAGTGCCCGGGAATGTTGAATGTCTTTGGTTCAGTCCATTTCATAAGTATCTATTGGGAAATTATCTGAGTTGTATATATGTTTAAAAGTATAGAATCTGTACATAAAACTTGCAATCCTTCACCCTTTGCCAAGAGCCAGTGGCTAGATCCTTCCCTGGTAGCACAGCTTGTCTGAGGAAGTTCTCATTGTTTGTTGTTTCTGTCTGGAAGCGTTAAAGGGAGTTAGGTGTTTGAGAAACACTCCACTGAAATGCTTGTCTCTTAATTCCCCCCCCCCCCGCTGCCGAAATAGCTGGTCCTTTTTCGGGAGTTAAATGTATAGTATGTTTTGTTTGTAAACATTTCTTATAGGTGTCCCCATGAACAAAGATCTATTTTCTATTTATTTATTGTATATGCACTTCTAGGTGTCATTGTCACAGAAATGAAGAATTGTCTTCAATGTCGTGTTTGGGAATATTCTTTGGATCCTTTGACAAATGTGTATCCAGTGTCTTCTGCTTGTAGTAGAAGACTCTAGTTTCAAAAACCTTGCTGTACCATAATAAATTGCAGAAGATGCCATCATTATGTCTCATCTTTTCCTTAAAGTTTTTTTTTGTTGTTGTTATGTGCTATTGAGTCAACTGATAATGTGACTCATAATGACCCTGTGTACAACAGCCTTTAACCCTTCTCTAACCTATGCCAGTCTCACTGTCTACAACACACCCACCCCGATTACCCCAGTCACTGAATCAATCCACCTTATAGAGGGTCTTCCCCTCCTGCATTGTCCCTCCACCCTCCCAAACATGACCTCCCTCTCCAAGGATTAGTCCCACCTTGCAACATGTCCAAAGTATGTCAGACGAAGCCTCAGAATCCTTGCCTACAAGGAGCACCCTGGTTTAATCCTCTCTAGAAAGAACCTGATCATTTTCTTACCAGTCCATGGTATTTTCAATACTCTTCTCCAGCACCACAGTTCAAAAGCATCAGTTCTCCTTCTATCCTCCCTAGTAATTGTCCAGCTCTTTGATGCATAAAAAGTGATTGCAAAGACCATGGCCTGTATCAGGCTCACCTTAATCTCCAGAGTGACATCATTGCTCTTCAGTACTTTGGTGAGGTCTCTAACAGCAGACTTTACCATCACAATATGTCTTTTGATTTCTTGGCTGCTGGTGCCAAGAGTGTTGACTGTGGAGCCAGGCAAACTAAAGCTAAACTAAAAATCTCAATCTCTTCACCATCTATCATGATGCTGCCAATTAGACCTGTGGTGAGAATCTTTCTTTTCTTGGTATTGAGCCTCAATCCATATCGAAGGCTACATTCCTTGACCTTCTACAGCAAGCACTTCAGGTCCTCCTCAGTTTCAGCAACCAAGGTTGTATCATCTGCATAATGCAGATTGTTGATGAATCTTCCTCCAATCCTGATGCCACATGCCTACTCATAGAGCCCAGCCTCCCAGATAATCTGTTCTGTGTATAGATTGAAAAGATATGGAGATAGGACACATCCCTGGCATACACCCTTCCCAATTTTGAACCATGCAGTGTTTCCTTATGTTCTGATGACTGTCTCCTGGTCTAAGTATAGGTTTTGCATTAGAACGATCAAGTGTTCTGAGATTGCCATTCCTCTTAGGGTCAGCCACAAGTTGTTGTGATCCACACAGTCAACGGTCTTTGCATAATAATTGAAACACAGACATTCCTCTGGTACTCCCTGCTTTCAGCCACGATCCATCAAGCATTAGCTACAATATCCCTAGTACCACTGCCCCCTCTAAACCCAGCCTGCACTTCTGGCAGTTCTTTGTTGATGAGCTATTCCAGTCGTTTTTGGATAATCTTCAACAGAATCTTGCTTGCATGTGATATTAATAATATTGTTCGATAATTTCCACACACTATTGGATCACCTTTCTTTGGAATTGGAACAAATATAGATCTCTTCCAGTCAGTTGGCCAAGTGGTTGTCCTCCAGATTCCTTGACACAACTTGGTGAGCACATCTAGGGTAGCATCCGTTAGTTGAAATACATCAATTGGTATACCATCTATTCTGGGGGCTTTTATTTTTGCCAATTCTTTCAAAGCAGCTTTAACTTCTTCCTTCATCACCGTAGGCTCTTATATGTTGTTTCATGAAATTCTTCTGTGTCTGCCAATTCCTTTCGAACAATGTATACTCTTTCCATCTTCTTTCAATACTTCATTGATCATTTAATAATCTGCCCAAAGCATCCTTAAGTATAGCAATACGAGGTTTGAATTTGTTCTTTAGTTCCTTCAGCTTATGAAATGCTGAGCGAGTTTGGCCCTTTTGATTTTCTGATTCCAGCTCCTTGCACATTTCATTGTAATATTTTACCTTGTCTTCCCATGCTGCCTTTTGAAATCTTCCGTTCAGCTCTTTAGTATCTTGAATTCTTCCTTCTGCTTTGGCTTCTCAGCATTCTATTGCAATATTCAGAGTCTCTTCTGACATCCACTTTGGTCTTTTCTTCCTCCTCTGTCTTTGTAATGACCTTT